CCTTTCAAATAAATAAATCTTTTTTTAAAAACTACTAAATGAAAAGCCGGTGCCATGGTTCACTTGGTTAATCCTCTGCCTGCAGCGCCGGCATCCCATATGGGTGCCGGTCTAGTCCGGTGCTCTCTTCCAGTCCAGCTCTCTGCTGTGGCCCGGGAGGGCAGTGGAAATGGCCCAGGTGCTTGGGCCCCTGCACCCACATGGGAGACCAGGAAGAAGCACATGGCTCCTGGCTTCGAATTGGTGCAGTGCCGACCGTAGCAGTCATGTGGGGAGTGAACCAGCGGAAGGAAGACCTTTCTATCTCTCTCTCTCTCTCACTGTCTATAACTCTACCTGTCAAAAAACAAAAACAAAAACAAAAACAAAAACAAAAAAAACCCTACTAAATGAAAAAAGACACAATACACTCATATAGGTTTTTTTTTTTTTTTTTAAGATTTATTTATTTATTTGAAAGTCAGAGTTACACAGAGAGAGGAGAGGCAGAGAGAGATCTTCCATCCGAAGGTTCATTCCCCAATTGGCCAGACAGCAAGAGCTGCACCAGTCTGAAGCCAGGAGCCAGGAGCTTCTTCCGGGTCTCCCACACGGTTGCAGGGGTCCAAGGACTTGGGCCATCCTGCACTGCTCTCCCAGGCCATAGAAGAGAGCTGGATCAGAAGTGGAGCAGCTGGGTCTTGAACTGGTGCCCATATGGGATGCCAGCGCTTCAGGCCAGGGCATTAACCCACTGCGCCACAGCACCAGCCCCCATATAGTTTTAAGTATTAAAAAAAATCCCATTGAGATTATCATTTCAATACTTTTTATACTACTATAATAAAAAACCAAGTAATTGTGAAGTAACAGGAATTGGTTAAATAAATGATACTTCTGGGGCTGGTGCTGTGGCGTAGTAGGTAAAGCCACTGCCTGCAGTGCCGGCATCCCATTTGGCCATCAGTTCGAGTTCTGGCTGCTCCCCTTCCAATCCAGCTCTGCTGTGGCCTGGGAAAGCAGTAGAAGATGGCCCAAGTCCTTGGGCCCCTGCACCCATGTGGGAGATTCAGATGAAGCTCCTGGCTCCTGGCTTCAGATCGTGCAACTCCAGCCCTTGTGGCCAATTGGGGAGCGAACCAGTGAATGGAAGACTTCTCTGTCTGCCTTTCTTTCTCTCTCTGTGCAACTCTGACTTTCAAATAAATAAAGCTTAGAAAATAAATAAATAGGCCGGCGCCGCGGCTCACTAGGCTAATCCTCCACCTGCGGCGCCAGCACACCGGGTTCTAGTCCCGGTCCGGGCGCCAGATTCTGTCCGGTTGCTCCTCTTCCTGTCCAGCTCTCTGCTGTGGCCCAGAGTGCAGTGGAGGATGGCCCAAGTGCTTGGGCCCTGCACCCGCATGGAAGACCAGGAGAAACACCTGGCTCCCGGCTTCAGATCAGCACGGTGTGCCAGCCGCAGCGCGCTGGCCACAGCAGCCATTGGGGGGTAAACCAATGGCAAAGGAAGACCTTTCTCTCTGTCTCTCTCTCACTGTCCACTCTGCCTGTCCAAATAAATAAATAAATAAATAGATACTTCCATGAAACAGCTACGTACGAAAATTACAGAGATATCATTTTTACATATTTTTTAAAAGATTTATTATTACAGAGATAGGCAGAGACAGAGACAGAGAGGTCTTCCATCACTGGTTTACTCCCCAAATGGCCCCAACGGCCAGAGCAGAGAGGATCCTGGCCAGGAGCCAAGAGCTTTACCCCGGGTCTTCCATGTGGGTGCAGGAGCCCAAGGACCTGGGCCATCCTCCACTGTGCTCCCAGGCCACAGCAGAGAGCCGGACTGGAAGAGGAGCAGCTGGGACCAGAACCAGTGCCCACATGGGATGCCAGTGTTTCAGGCCAGGGCTTTAACCCACTGTGCCACAGCACTGGCCCCCATTTTTCTATTTTATTTGAAAGGCAGTTACAGGGAACCAGGGCTGAACCAGGATAAAATCAGGAGCCAAGGCCTGCCCTGTGGCTCACTTGGCTAATCCTCTGCCTGTGGCGCCGGCACCCCGGGTTCTTGTCCCGGTTGGGGCGCCAATTCTGTCCCGGTTGCCCCTCTTCCAGTCCAGCTCTCTGCTGTGGACTGGGAAGGCAGTGGAGGATGGCCCAAGTGCTTGGGCCCTGCACCCGCATGGGAGACCAGGAGAACCACCTGGCTCCTGGCTCTGGATCAGCGCAGCGCACCAGCCGTAGTGGCCATTTGGGGGGTGAACCAACGGAAAAGGAAGACCTTTCTTTCTGTCTCTCTCTCTCACTAACTCTGCCTGTCAAAAAAAAAAAAAAAAAAAAATCAGGAGCCATAAACTTCATCCAAATCTCCTACATGGATATGGGGCCAAGCGGTTGGCCCATTTCCCATTGCTTTCCCAGAAGCATTAGTGGGTAGCTGGATCTGATGTGGAGGAGCTGGGATTTGAACCAGCAACCATATGGTATGCCAGAGTCCCAGGCAGTGGCTTAAAATACTGTGCCACAACACCAGCCCCAGAGATAAGATTTTCCATCAACTGCCTTGAGAAAAATAAAGAATACTGCCCCCATATACTGCTGCTGTTAGTAAGGAGGTAAATTGGTCAAAATCTTCTCACTTGGACCACATTCATGAACATTACAAATGCATGAAATATCCTTCAACCTGGTAATTCAACTTCTAGAGATCTATTTTATGTATATCCTTACACATTCACAAAATGAGGATTTTACAAGTTACTCAATGCACTATCATGTATATAATAAAAGCCTATAAGCTATCTATGTACTGCTATCTCTAGCACATTTTAAGTTTAAAAAAAAAAGATACAGAAATGGAATGGGTATGGGATTTTAGTTTGGTGTTTGGACAGGCAGAGTTAGACAGTGAGAGAGAGAGAGAGACAGAGAGAAAGGTCTTCCTTTTTCCATGGGTTCACCCCCTAAATGGCCACTACGGCCGGCACGCTGTGGTGATCTGGAGCCAGAAGCCAGGTGCTTCCTCCTGGTCTCCCATGCAGGTGCAGGGCCCAAGCACTTGGGCCATCCTCCACCGAACTCCCGGTCCACAGCAGAGAGCTGGACTGGAAGAGGAGCAGAGGAGCAACCGGGACAGAATCAGCGCCCCAACTGGGACTAGAATCTGGGTGCTGGCACTGCAGGCGGAGGATTAGCCAAGTAAGCTGCGGCGCCGGCCAGTATGCTTTCTTTGTATTTATTTTTTTTTTTTTAAAAATGTGCTTGCCTATCTAATACAGAGGCATCTATCTCATGGGGTAGGAAATAGTTGTTGAAGAGAAGAGTACTGTATAACCTCATATCTAAATTTTATATATTATCAAAATTATAAAAATGAATAAATCGAAAGAGGAAAATCATCAGACTACCAAGGTATAAGAAAATATTCACATGAAGTAAAAAAGGAAGTAAACAATACTGACTGAAATTCAATTTTAAATATATTGGTATACACAGAAAAACATTGATACCAAAATAATTAAAGGGTAATTACTTAAGACCTCTCTGTGTCTATCTCTCTCTGTAACTCTGTCTTTTTAAAAAAAAAATCCAAAGGAAATAATCATGTTTGTGAGACTAAAAGGGCTTTTACCTCACTGTTTTTCTTTATATTTTAACAAACATAACTATTATTATTAAAAAAAAAAATCATGGGGCCAGAACTGTGGCGCTGTGGGTTAACGCCCTGGCCTGCAGCACCAGCATCCCATATGCACGCCGGTTCAAGATCTGGCTGCTCCACTTCCGATCCAGCTCCCTGCTATGGCCTGGGAAAGCAGTAGAGGATGGCCCAAATCCTTGGGCTCCTGTACCCACTTGGGCGACCCAGAGGAAGCTCCTGGCTCTGGATCTGCGCAGCTCCGGCCATTGCAGCCAATTGGGGAGTGAACCATCAGATGGAAGACCTCTCTCTCTCTGCCTCTCCTTCTTTCTCTGTGTAATAATGGACTTCTAAGATTAAAATGTACATGTTTATAATGTATACTTAGATTTTATTATCCAATGATATGCTTTATCAAAGAAACTGAGTAACATTTGTTTTTCTGAAATTATAAATGAAATATGCCTTAAATTTGAGAAAGATGACCTAAAATTACAATACAGGCCAGTGCTGTGGCTCACTTGGTTAATCCTCTGCCTGCGGCACCGGCATCCCATATGGGTGCCGGGGTCTGTCCCGATTGCTCCTCTTCCAGTCCAGCTCTCTGCTGTGAACCGTAAGGGCAGTGGAGGATGGCCCAAGTGCTTGGGCCCCTACACCTGCATGGGAGACCAGGAGGAAACACCTGCCTCCTGGCTTCTGATTAGAGCAGCGCTGGCCGTGGCAGCCATTTGGAAGTGAATCAATGGAAGGAAGACCTTTCTCTCTCTCTCTCTCACACAGTCTATGACTCTACCTGTCAAAAAAAAAAAAAAATTACAATACAAATCACTGGACTATGTAGATACTCCAAAATTAATAGCAACGAAGAACAATGGTGGCACAAAAAAATGTCTCAATAAACAAGGTTTCTTTTTTTTTTTTTAAAGATTTATTTTATTTATTTGAATGATACGAGTTAGAGAGAGAGGTCTTCCAACTGATGGTTCACTCCCCAAATGCCTCAAAGGCCAGAGCTGAGCTGATCCAAAGCCAGGAACCAGGAGCTTCTTCCGGATCTCCCATGTGGGTGCAAGGGCCCAAGGACTTGGGCCATCTTCTGCTACTTTCCCAGGCAATAGTAGAGAGCTGGATTCTAAGTGGAGCAGCTGGGACTCAAAACCAGCATCCCTATGGGATGCCAGTGCTGCAGGCCGGGGATTTAACCCACTGAACCATAGCACCGGTCCCAAGGTTTCTAAAATTATTAAAATGCTACTAATTACTAATCAGAAATAGGACCCAGGGACCCAACGTTGTGGTACAGTGGATTAAGTGGCCACTTGGAAAGCCAGAGGCCCAGCTACTCTACTTCCCATCCAATTTCCTGTTCATGTACCTGGAAAGGCAGTGAAAGATGATTCAAGTACTCAGGCCCCTGCCACCCACATGGTAGATCCAGATGGGAGTTCCTAGCACAAAAAAAAAAAGAAGAAGAAAAAAGAGCATAATGTTTCTCCTCTAATTACAATTCCATCATAATCATATTACTAACATCTAAAATCTGACAAACATCTGGTGAGCTTTTTTTTTAAAGAGTTATTTATTGGGGGGCTAGCATTGTGATATAGCAGGTACAGTCACCACCTGTGACACCAACATCCAGCTATCCATATAGGCGCTGCTTCGTGTCCCAGCTGCTCCACTTCCAATCCAGCTGCCTACTAATGCCCTGAGAAAAGCAGAAGATGCCCCCCCGCCCCCCAAGCAGGAAGAAGCTCCTGGCTCCTGCCTGGCCCAGTCCTGGCAGTGGATGGAAAATCTCTCTCTTGTCTCTCCCTCTTATTTATTTATTTGAAAAGCAGAGTTAGAGAGAGAGAGGAAGAGACAAAGAGAGAACTTCCATCTGCTAGTTCAATTCCCAGATGGCTGCAACAACCAGGACTGGGCCAGGCCTGTGCCAGGAGCTTCTTCTGGGTCTCCCATTTGAGTGCAGGGGCCCAAGAAGTTGGACCATCCTCTGTTGCTTTCCCAAGTGCATTAGCAGGGAGCTGGATCACAAGTGGAACAACTGGAACATGAACGGGCACCCATAAGAGATGCTAGCATTGCCAGTGGCAGCTTTACCCGCTACGCTACAACATCGCCCCCATATTAAAAAAAAAAAAAAGTAGAGGAAATTATATGGGAGATATCGAAAATAAAAATTCCAGGAAAGATTAAGTCCATGCACTATTCAATATAATATTAGAATATTTTGTTAGATATGTTGTTAGAATATTATGTTAGAACATAATCAAAGCTTTCAGAGTAGTAGCCTTGATTTGTTATAAACTTTTTTAAAAAAAGATTTCTATAATTTATTTGAAAGGCAGAGGCGGGGGGTGGGGTGGGGGTGTCTTCCATCCGTTGGCTCATTACCCAAATGGCCACATGGCTGGAGCTGAGCCAATCCAAAGCCTGGGGCTTCTTAAGGGTCTCCCACATGGGTGCAGGACCAAAGGACTTGGGACATCCTCTGCTGCTTTTCCAGGCCATAGCAGAGAGCTGGATTTGACAGGGAATGACCATGACTCCAAAAGGCACTCTGACACGGGATGCCAGTATTGTAAGCAGCTACCTAACCCTAGACAGCACAATGCCATACCAGTTCCAAGGAAAGCAATTTAAGATTCACAACAGCCTGTTTAGCGCATTCCTAATGTGGTTCACAACAACAGGCACAGCAGTTAAAACGCTGGTTGGGACACCCATGTCTCATACTGAAGTGCTTGAATTTGATATACCCAGCTCTACTTCCAATTCCAGCTTCCTGCTAATGTGCACCCTGGGAGGCAGCAGGTGATGGCTCCATTAGTTGGGTCCCTGCCACCCACATGGCAGGCCCAGACTGAGTTCCAGGCTTTCAGTTCAGCCTGGCCAGTAAGGGCATTTGGAAGATGAACCCGCAGATGAGAAATTTCTGTGTCTCCGCCTTTCTTATAAAATAGGGGGTGGGGGAGGGGGGCCCTGAGGGGGAGAGTAGGAAACAAAACAGACTGCTTCAAAAACATTTGAATGTATTTATAAATGCCAGACCACTAACACAAAATTTAGTATAAAATTTAGTAAAACCTAGCTAAATTCTGAGGTGTCAGGAAACACAGTTACGTGTCCCTATAGTGCTCTTTCCCCTAGTGTTTCTGACACACCTGTGACACAAACTACTGCTCTGATAGCAACATGATTAACAATGGATAGGCACTTCTGAAATGCTTAAATCCTTTGGAAAACTTAAAAATCTGCATGCCCAGTGTTGTGGTGCAGCGGGTTAAGCCATCGCCTGCAATGCCAGCATCCCATACAGGTGCCAGTTTGAGCTCCAGCTGCTCTGCTTCCAATCTAGCTCCCAACTTATTTACCTGAGAAACCAATGGAGGATAGAATAGCCCAAATGACTGGACCCTTGCACCCACATGGGAGACCCCAGTGAAGTTCTGGCTCCTGGCTTTGGCTTGGCCTAGCTCTGGCTGTTGTGGCCATTTGGGGAGTGAATCAGCAGATAAAAGATTTGTCTCTATAACCGCCTTTCAAGTAAAGAAATAAATGTTTAAAAAAAATGTTTACCAATAAAAATAAACAAATAATAAAAAAAATCTGTAATGCTTCCAAACTTGTTTAATACAGATATTTTACACATCCTATACACTCTTGAGAGACATAAAAATATAATACAATTATGTTAGTACCAATCCACAAAAGCAAATACTAAGTGGAAAAAACTCTAATATCCTTAATGTTGTACCTACAATCATCTAATGATATAATCATATACATATAATTACATATAAATTTATCTGTATTCAGGGATACCTACACCATTCTAGCCCCAATTCAATTCAGTAATTCTTAGAAAAAAATTACAGACTTTTGAAGTCTGAGGGAAATTTAGGAAATCATTTGATGTAATCTTCTGAGTTTTAGATCAAGAACCAGGGGACTAGAGCGCTGAACTGACAGGTCCAAAGTAACAAGCAGCATTCTCTACAACTTCACTGTAGAAACAAGCTCATTCACATATATTATAGCTTATTTAATTTTACTTTCTACAACATGCCCCTAATAAAATGGTTTTATGAATGAACTTTAAGCTAAAGTGTATATACCAACAGTAGCTTAATACACAAATAAATATGCTCCACTTTTTTTAAAAAAATCAATGAGTTAAGGAATCATTATTAAAATAATAAAATCATTATTAAAATAATTTAATAACAGATTTTATGTTCACATTTACAACTATTATAGAGTTAAACTTCGAGATGAGGTTTGTGAGCATTTTAAGCCACAACTCTAAAACAAAGTACAAAAGTTTTCCTGATGGATAACAAAAGTCCAAAGTCCCAGTTATAGCAGTTTTCCCTGAGTATTTATAACACCTTCCAGAGAAATGACAAAAGGCAAGTTTTGTCCCACAGATATACAATACACTGAATTCTTATGGCAACTGCATATGCATTAAGTTAGAGCAGAATCATTGACACTTAAACAAAATCAAAGTTGAAGTTTAGTGCCAATACTGAAAACAACAACAAAAAGCATGTGCTATCACAATGCAACAGAAAGATTAAACTTCTCAATTCACTTGAATTAATGATCTATGTTGACATACTACCTATGTCAATATACCCTATTACATTAGGATACTAAGAAGACAATGCTACAATTCGAATTAATCAATGTGTAAAGTAATAAGGGGTTAAAAATCAACATGTATTTCCTGAAAGGGACAACTACTGAAAGAATTAATAGCAGACATGATGCTGTCAAGCAGAAAATCTAATTTAAAATAACCAAAGTGTTAAAAGGACAAAGACCTTTTGGAACAACAGGTCACCAATACCACAAGAACACAGTACCACCACCAAAAGAAAAAAAAAGCCTTTAAAAAGTCAAAATATAATGTTATTCACTTCTCTCTCAGAACTAGTGAACGGTCATGGAAAGCTTATTTTCACAATTTCAACAAACCTGACCATCTATTTTTGATGCCTACAGCTAATGACAGCTGGAAATCAAAATGCCATTTTGCAGATAAAGAAATGAGGCTGAGAAAGATGAATGAGCCACAAAAATGCAAATTTTCTAACCTAGGAACTTTACATACTTGTACACTCCTGACAGCAGGGCAAGACAACCGTGACGACAGCCTGCAGAGATGACAAAAAGCCCTAAGAAGCAAACGCAACAATTCAACAGCACAGAATTTCAGCAGCGTCCAAGACAATATCCAAAAAGATTTAAGGTCCTCAATAATCAAGAATCATTTAAAAAAATAATTAAACAACGTATAGTAACTAGGACAAGTATGTAATTTGCTGTTAAAGAAATAATTCCACTCCAAATAGTTAAAACTAAAAAGGGTGCGTTAGTGCTAACGTGGATAAATTTTAAGGCTTATTAAAAACATGAAAGCGAAAAAGCAGTCTCGTTCTAGATACCTGTACCTTTCCTGGACCTGATGGTATGATCTCAAAACTTAGAGAATGTTCATTCATGCTGCCTCCATGCTACGAGGTTACTGGCCATCCTTCTTTACTAAAGGGGACTACAGATAGACACAAAAACCCCTCTCCGGTTTTTGATATTGAAATATCAGACTGCCGTATTTTCGTATATTGCTCACTGGACACTACTTACGACCACGATTCCAAACATGAGGTACTGCACAAGAAAGTACCCTTATGGGAAGACATCAAAATCAATGCACAAATGGTGACTTTGTAACGTTTCCAAAAAGACTGGGTATTCTCTGCAGAGACTCCTGACTGTGCCCCTTAAAAAAAAAAAAAAAAAAACTAAAGACCAAATGTGCACACTATTCTTAAACATATGGAGCTGATCTGAAATCATCACCTTCCTCCTAAAAAAGTATCTCCTCCTAAAAGGCCTGCGCCGCTCACAGCTCCTGGAAACTGGAGAACTTCGCGAGAGGTTTTGAGTTTCAAGAAAATGCTTAGCAACTGCCACTTATGAATGCACAAAAATCGTTGTCCTGACAGAGAAAAAGGTCGGAGTACGAGGAAAGCTTGTTTTCAATCTTAATCCCCGTGATTCAGGATCTCCGCCCGCCACTCTCCGACCCCAACCTGACAGGAAGTCAGGCTGCAGCTCCCCCTTCCCCACCAACCCTCCCACCTACCCCGCAGTAGGGCTCAGTCTTACGATTTTGAAGCATCAAAAATCAACCTAGCTCTCTAGGGTTCAGGCCGCCGCCGCTGCCGCCATATTAAAGCTTGTGCGGCAAAATGCGTCAGGGAGGGAGGTGTGCGCCCGGGTGGGGAGGGCGGGGGCTGGAGGAAGAGACGTTTCCCAGGCCAAGACGACTTGGCTGGAAGTCTCGTCCAGCTGCTGCAGCAGCAAAGCCAGCGCAGCGGCCCTCAGAGGCCTGTTGCAGGCCCACGCAGCCCTGATACCTCGAGGGAAAGACGGTTAAGTCGGTCCGGCCTCCCGCGCCGGCTCCGCCCCTCTCCCCCAGCCCTTCCCGCTTTCCTGCTCCGGGACTGCAGCAAATGACGCCACCCAAACCACACGGGCGTTGCGCTAGTTACCTGCACCGACAGTTTCCTCTCTCCCGGGCCCGGTCCTTAAAAGCGCTTCAAATCTACCGCCGCCAGAAAAGGCGCTAAAGCCCACTAACCGCCTCCCTCCCCCACAGCCCAGTCCTGGCGTGGAGAGGAAGCGTCGCGCAGGAAGTACGTTACGATTCCCTGACGACATCTGCTGACGTATCTTTATGTGCGTCGCCACGCCCTCCCTATAGAACTAAGGATTTGGACTCTTTAGATGCTTGGTTTATATGTAGCTTAATGTTTTCTGAGTGAGTTGACAGGGAACAGTGGTAACCTTCCGAAAGCTGTATTTTTAGGGACTTAAAGTGCTTCGTTTAATAAACATTTACTGATATTTTGCCAGGCTATTGAGAAGGATGCCCTCCCTTCAGGGAGCTTCCAATTGTGCTTTCAGCTAAGGCTAGGATAGAAATTGTACAAAAAATAGTAATGGACCAAGTGTAATCACAAAGGCCATTGAGGTTCTTTGTTGTTTTTATGATAGAGTTTAAAAAAATTTATAATTGTTATTTGAAAGGCAGATTTAGAGAAAGATCTTCCATCCACTGGTTTACTTCCCAAATACTTTCAGTTGCCAGGGCTGGGCCAGCAGGAAGCCAGGGACCTAGAACTCCATTCCGGTCTCCCACGTGATTGGGAGGGACCCAAGCACTTAAGCCCCTCAGGCCCATCAGCAGGAAACTGGGTGGACTGCAACTTGCATTTTGATACGGGATGCAGACATCCCAAGTAGCCGCTGAACCTGCTGTGCCACAACAGCCTTCCCTCTATGGGGTATTTTTTAAAAAGATACCTAGAGGAATTAAATGGTTATATTTTAAAAAATACTTAAACTATGGCTTGTGACAACCATATCAGCTCTGGTCTGAGTCTCAGCTGCTCTGTTTCAGATCCAGCTCCCAGCTAATGCACCTGGGAAGGCTGCAGATGATGGACCAAGTACTTGGGCCCTTGGCAGCCACTTGTGAGACCCAGATGGCGTTCCTGGCTCCTGACTTTGGGCTGGCCCAAACCTGACTGTTGCTGGCATTTTGAGGAGTGAACCAGAGAATGGGAGAACTTTCTATCACTCTGCCTTTCAAATAAAAAAAAATTTAAGTTTCTCATTAATAGCAGGTAAATTAATTAAAAACATATGGGCATGTGGTACATGGGTGGGGCTTTACCAATTTTAAGTATCAGTGAAACTGATAGTATACTCATCTTTGGGCAGTCCGAGGTATTGTGGATTTACACTCTAGTGGTAAGAACAATTCTGCAATACCTTTGTTGCCAAACAACACCCCAAACTATTTGGAGATATTGCTGTAGAACCCTCAAATATAGGTCATCTCAACCAATGTGCCGAAAGTCAATCACTGACATTGGGGTGGTGGAAGAAAGTGGGTACTGCGAAACATAGACCAAGGAGCCAGACAACTATTGCTGAATTTCTGGCCTCCCTGTGGAGTTAGGGAAAAAGCTTCTTCATGTCCACATTCCCACATTCCTGGTTGGTCTGTGGGTCTCATGATCTTCCTTTGGTCAGAAATGCTGTGCTCGTTAGGGCATTTATAATGGCCACGAGGGCTCCAGCTAGTCAGTGTAAGGGTGTTACATGTAAGCGGTAGTTACATTTTGCCACTAGACCTGGAATTCCCCTGGACAACTTCCGCCCCCCCAGTAATGTCCATCGAGGCTTTAACTATTGGAGAAGCAAATAACTTCTTGGGTCCAGGGACTAGAAGCTTATAGGGCCAACTGTACCACTTTGGTAATTCAGTGAATTCCTTTTGATAAAAGGCAGGCAAGGACACCTTGGGCTAAGGGTAACAGATGAGAGGTGGGGTCCTGCTTTTACACTAAAGGGATTCAGTCTTCATGAGTATTTCTGCAAAAAGATTTTTCCAAAAGATGAATTTCTATGAGCATTGGTTCGTTTTCATCTGTTGCACAGCTACCAGCAGAATTTTTTTTCAGCTATCATATACAGATTAGTTTCTTAGGATTCTACTTAACTGTAGAGGCAATATGTAAGTACAATTGCTGTTATAATTGATATATTTTTCCCCTTTCAAGTAATTCATTTTTGAGGATATATTACATATCATTAATACTATAGTTAACATTTTAGAACAACATTTTAGTATTAAAGTGATTGGTAGTAATTATTAATAGTGGAAATATTAATTTGTATTAGTTTTAGTATAGATTATTTATTTGGAAAGTCAGAGTTACAGAGAGAGGGAGAGACAGAGATAGCTTCCATTCACTGGTTCACTCCTCAGATGGCCACAACACCAGTGCTGTGGGTCAGGCTGAAGCTAGGATCCAGGAGCTTTATCTGGGTCTCCCACACGGGTGGCAGAAGCCCAACAACTTGGGCCATGTTCCATTGCTTTTCCCAGGCCATCAGCAGGGAGCTGGATTGGAAGCGTAGCAGCCGGGACAGAAACCTGCTCCTAAATGAGATGCCAGTATTGCAGACAGCAGCTTTACCCACTGCACCACAATGCTGGCCCCTAGTTGTAGTAAACATTGTAATGATCAGATTCTGGGAGACTCTCAAAAGTTTTAAAAAATTTAATTAATTAAATTTTCTTATTTGAAAGAGACAAACAGACAAATCTTCCATCTGAAGGTTCATGTCTCAAATGACCTCTACACCTGGAGCTGGACCAGGCTGAAGCTAGGAGCCTGAGACTCCATCCTTGTCTCCCATGTGGGTGGCAGGGACTAAGTGCTTGAGTCATCATCTGCTACCTCCTATGATGTGCATTAGCAAGGAAGCTGAATCAAAAGTAGAGCGTGGAGTTGAGCCCAGGTGCTCATGCAGGCATCCCAAGAATCTTAACCACTGCACCACAACAGCATTTCCCTACAGATTTGCGCACTTTTTTTTTTTTTTGTAGGATTTTTTTGTTTGTTTGTTTGAAAGGCAGGGTGACAGAGAGAGGGAAAGACAGAGATCTTCCATCTCTGGTTTGCTCCCCAAACTGCCAGAACGGTCAGGGCTGGTCCAGGCTGAAGCCAGAAGCCAGGAACTCCACCTGGTTCTCCCACACAGGTGGCAGAGACCCAAGTATTTGGGTCTCTGCTGCTGCCTTCCTGAGAGCATCAGCAGGGAGCTAGATTGGAAGTGGAGCAACCAGGACACGAACTGGCACCCATTTGGGATGCTGTTGTCACAAGTGGTGCTTTATCTCACTTCATCACAATGCCAGTCCCAGAACGGTATACTTTAAGTGAACAAATTGTATGCTATGTAAATTATATCTCAATAAAACTGTTTAAAGAAAGCTGTGGTCTGAGAACTGGTACCTGTCCATCACACAAGTGCAGAGATAGAAAGTAAGAGTTTTGATACTTTTATGGCTATTGACAGTTCATATATATTGACAATAATTAACAAAAGCCTGCATATACCTTTTCCCTATTACATTTTCCAAATAATATTTTTATTGTCCTCCATTTCTCCAAGGACAAAACAAAACAAAACAAAAACACAGAAATTCAGTAGTGAAGAGAGTAAGGCTTTTGGCCTAGTGGTAAGACACCCCGCATCCCATAGCAGACTGCCTCGGCTTGACTCCCTGCTCTGTTCCCAATTCCATCTTCCTACTAAAGTATACCCTGGAAGGCAGCAGGCGATAGCTCAAGTAATTGGGTTCCTGCCACCCAGCTCCAAGCTTTGAAAGGCCCAGGGCAGGTCTCTGTGGGCATTTAGGGAGTGAACCAGCGAGTAGGATCTGTCTCTCTGCCTCTCAAAACAACAACAAATCATAAAGACACACGTATACCTCCTTCAGTGGTTTCAAGCCACACAGCCCCAGAGCCTCTCTCAAGAGGAACTACAAGGCCCAGAATGCCCACAAAAATGCGCAGGCGACTTGCTTGCTTCGGCCCTGGCCGCGACGCCCCCTGGGATATGTAGTGCGTACCTGGGGCCGCACGCCGACCTCCAGCGGCATTTTTTCCTGCTGTGGGGTACCGACCGTGCCGGGGAAAGGGGGATGTTTCTCAAGGAAAGATGAACAGCTCTGGGCTACGACGGGTGAGCGAGACAACAGAGGCTGCCGCGGCCCTTGTGGGGAAGCAGCAATAAACCTGACTTCTAGCCTTCCCCAGGACCTTCCAGAAAAGTTCCCGGGAAGTCTAGGGCCAGGTGGCGGCGGCGAGGATCCCACAGAGAGAGTTCCACTGGTGAGCTGGGGACGCAGGGTTCCGCGGAGAAACCGAGGCCCGCTGCCCGGCGTTGGGCTGTGAAACGCGGAGGACTGGGGCAGGGCTGAGCCCGCTCGGAACCAACACGGTGGAGACCGCATGCCCCGGTGTGTTCGGCTCGGCTGTTTGGCGGGCGCCGAGCGTGCCTGTCATTTGCAAGCCGTGCTTCTGTTTGACCTGCGCTACCTGGTCACCACGGGTACCTGTCTCTCACTTTCAGTCTCCTTTGGCTAAGTGCGCCAGGGTCTCCCAGCCCGGGCAGAGGTGGGGACTCGACACCTCTGTGTTCTAGCCCTTGAGTCGCTTCCACTTGGAGTTGAGGTTGCATGGTGTCATGAGGATACCTGTGCGTTGTGCAGGGCTTCTTGTACAGGTGTGTGGCCAAGGCCAGCTTGGATCAGAGTGCTTTACTGATTGCCCCCCCAAATAGCCGGTACTGTCAACACACTGGGTTTTCTTATGAGCAGATCAATTTGGTCTAGCCATAGAGAGGAATCTGAAGCATCGTTGTAGTGACACAGTAACTGCGTGTTGCTTGGTTAATATAATGAAGCTGTTCAACTGGGAAGAACTGAGTTGTATCTAGCTTCACCAGCACTGGGAGTAGTTTTTACACCCAGTTTCCTCATCTGTGAAATAGAAATGCTAATGTCTACCTGAAATGTTGAGAGGATTTTGTGAGATGTTTTGCATGTTCATTGTAAATTTTAACATGTTGCAGAAATACTAGATTTTGTTATTTTAGTCCCTGCCTTTCTAACCATTGCTCCTTGATTATAAATGTATATATTTATAATACATTTAGAATATTATCCTTTTCCATGATGTCTTTTTTATGTTGCTTCTTTCTTGAAATGTTACTTGATTTTTAAAAATATTATGGTGCTTTAATGATTTCATTTATTGGTTAAAACATGTCTAAGGTCAATAATGACTGTCTTGTTTGTGTTTTTCTAAGGCTCAAGAAGAAATGAGCAAGGCTGACATCTTGCTACCGTGTTAAGACCTGCCACTTGTGCTCTGCCATCCCATATTGGAGCAGGAGTTAGTCTTGGCTGCTCTACTTCTGATCCAGCTCCCTGCTAATGTGCCTGAGAAAGCAGTGACAGATGATCCAAATGCTTGGGCCCCTGAGAAAGCTCTGAGCTCCTGGCTTTGACTTGACCCAGCCCCGGCCATTGAGGCCATTTGGAGAGTGGACCAGTAGATGGAAGATCTCTGTCTCTCTGCCTTTCAAATAAATAAATAAATAAATAAGTAAATGTATTAATTAAAATCAATGAACAAATTATCCTGTAAGCAAATATACAGACACCATCCTAACAATTTTTATTCTGTTTCTGATTGAATAACTACTCTTTAGAAACTTTAAAGATGCTATATTTTTTTACTTCAAACGATTTTCAGTTTTACTCTTTTAACTAAAAAGACGATTTTGAGGATTGTTTTAAGATTTATTTATTTATTGTTTATTGAAAAGCAGAGTGTCAGAGAGAGAGGGAGAGACATTTACTCTGCAAATGTCCATAGCAGCCTAGGCTGCACCCAGCTAAAGCCAGGAGTCAGCAGCTTCATTTGAATCCCCTATGTGGGTAGCAGGACCCAAGTACTTGTACCATCATCTGCTGTCTTCCTAGGTGTAGTGGCAGGAAGATCGATCAGTAGTGGAGTTCACAGAACTTAAATGAGCACTTCAATATGAGATGAGGGCCTCCCAAGCAGCAACTTAACCTGCTGTGTCCCAAACTGCCCTGAGTTTTTTTTTTTTTTTTTTTAAGATTTATTTATTTTATTTGAAAGGCAGAGTTACAGAGAGGCAGAGGCAGAGAGAGGTCTTCCATCTGCTGGTTCCCAAATGGCTGCAACAGCCAGAGCTGTGCCGATCTGAAGCCAGGAGCCAGGAGCTTCTTCCAGTGAATGCAGGGGCCCAAGGACTTGGGCCATCTTCTGCTGCCAAGCACATTAGCAGGAAGCTGGATCAAAAGTGGAGCAGCTGGGATTCAAACCGGCACCCCTTGGAATGCTGGTGTTGCAGGCAGTGGCTTTACCAGCTATGCCACAGTGTTGGCCCCTGGACTGGTTGGTTTTGCATCAAATCCTGCTACTCAGTTCTACTGCTTTCCCAGGTCATAGCAGAGAGCTGGATCGGAAGTGGAGCGGCTGGAACTCGAACAGCGCCCATATTGGATGCTGGCACTGCAGGTTGGCGGCTTTACCTGATACACCACAGTGCTGGCTCCAAGTTTGGTTTTTTTATTTCTTCTACTTTTATGTCAAACTGCATATAAATGTTAGACATTTGTTTTTTGAAAGACAGAGAGACTAAGAGAGATGGTTTTCTCCATAAGTAGCCTCAATGGTGGGTTCAGGAATGCAAGCCAGGTCTCCCATGTGGGTGGCAGGAACCCAATCACTTGAATCATCACCCCTGTCTCTCAGGGTCCATATTAGCAAGAAGCTGGAATCAGGAGCCAGAGCTGGAAATGTGAACCCAGGCACTCAAATGTGAGATGTAGGCCCTTTAAACAGCATCTTAACTGCTAGATTTTTTTTTTTTTAAAGATTTATTTATTTATTTGAAAGGCAGAGTTACAGAGATGTAGAGGCAGAGAGAGAGAGAGAGAGAGATCTTCAGTCTCCTGGTTCACTGCCCAGATGGCTGCGATAGCCGGAGTTGGGCCAAGCTAAAGCCAGGAGCCTGGAGCTTCTTCCAGGTCTCCCACATAGGTGCAGGGGCCCAAGGACTTGGGCCATCTTCTATTGCCAAGCACATTAGCAGGAAGCTGGCTCAAAAATGGAGCAGCTGGGAGTTGAACCGGCACCCACTTGGGATGCTGGTGTTGCAGGCAGTGGCTTTACCAGCTATGCCACAGTGTTGGCCCCTAGAGTGGTTGGTTTTGCGTCAAATCCTGCTACTCGGTTCAGACTAAGAACAAAGTCTCTATGCGGAAAAAAATTTTAATTGGATTTTAGAGTTAATTTGATGTTAATGATGTAAGCATGACCATGTTAAACCAATTATTTTACAGAAGCTGCATGTTGGAATGGATTTAGTCATCATAATGGAAGCAAAATATCTGAAGTGTATAACACCCAAGTACTGCACTGACTGCTAGTGCAGATGGTTTTCTTTACCTAAGGAAATTTGTGATATATGTGAAAAGATACCTTTTCTCTAGACTCATTGGTTATAAATATGTTTCGTCTGAGAGCTGTTTGTCCATTCTGGAGAGTGTTTCCATTTCGACCCTTTAGCTGTGAACCATTAATTATCCAAATGAATAAGTGCACAAATGAAGAGCAAGTGTTTGATCTAATTGCAAGAAACAAAGCCGCACTTTCAGAAAAGCAAGTGGGATGTGCATTTAATGCACTTTGGCAGCTTCAAAAGCAGAAGACTACATCGTTAAAAGATATTGAGGGTGTCAGAAACCATCCCCACTTTCTTTCTCTTCATAATTTAACCATAAGTAAAGTCAAATTAATGGATGATGATACCCTGGTGAATGTGTTATACATCACACAACAGTAAGTAATTCACTTTTAGATTTTATAGAAATGATTACAATTTATATTTTAATTTTCTAGAACTTCCATAAAGTAAAAAGCAATTTTTTCAAGTTAATCAGTTTTCCTGATAATTTAGTGTTTTAAAGATGTTTGGAGGATATTCTTTGATATCTATTAGTAGCACTACAGTTTCAAAAATTAGAATGTCATCAGTCATGAAAGAAGAAATGATTACACTTATGCATACAAAAGTGGGTTGTTGTGTTATTTGTAGAAATGTAGTTCTCTAAAGATAATTATTACATAATAGATAAAAAATTAGACTTCAATTAATGCCTAATAATAATCAATTAATAAATTACCTGTGTTGACTCATTTGCAGTCTCTTGGTTCCTATAATTGAATTGATCACAGATATATTTTTTGTGTGCTGTGTTACAATGGCTTGTTTTCCAATAATAGCTCTTAAAAAAGAAGAAAAATAGAATTATTTTGTAGACTCACTTATATTTCATAAATGTTTCACAAATTGTATTCTATGAATTGTTGACAGGTGTTCATGAAAGAAAGGCATCCTTGGTATCAAAGGCAAACTCATATAAAATTGAGCTTTAAGAATTTTTTACATTGTTTGCAAGGAAATCCATCCTTAAAGAGGATTGGGTTCCCTGAATAATAGATTCAGCAGGTGTATAAAGACAAAAAAATCACAGAAGTTATAGTTAATCTGTTTATTAATCTCAATCTCATTGGTGAAAAACAGCAGTTTTCTTTTTTTTTTAATTTTTTATTTTTTTGACAGGCAGAGTGGACAGTGAGAGAGAGAGAGAGACAGAGAGAAAGGTCTTCCTTTGCTGTTGATTCACCCTCCAATGGCCGGCGCGGCCGGCGCGCTGCGGCCGGCGCACTGTGCTGATCCGATGGCAGGAGCCAGGAGCCCGGTGCTTTTCCTGGTCTCCCATGGGGTGCAGGGCCCAAGCACCTGGGCCATCCTCCACTGCACTCCCTGGCCACAGCAGAGAGCTGGCCTGGAAGAGGGGCAACCGGGACAGAATCCGGCGCCCCAACCGGGACTAGAACCCGGTGTGCCGGTGCCGCAAGGCGGAGGATTAGCCTAGTGAGCCGCAGCGCCAGCCCGAAAAACAGCAGTTTCCTTGTATAATAATCCAATCTTTGCAGACTAAGTAGCTGTAGATATCAGCATTAGAGAAATCAGGGATGTGTTTTTTTTTTTTTTTTAAATTAGAGAATTAGCATTCATAGGAAAGGTACTGATGGGTTTACTTGTATTGAGAATTGATGTTAAAAAAGGATGATTCCTTCTGTTCTTGGTGGTCTTTCTCAGGGTTAAAGTTTTTTTCTCTACAGTACATGAAAGGAATACTTAATGAGTAAGATGATGACTATTAGCATTTTTCTGTATTTTATAAACTTTCTCTTATAAAATATTTTTGTAATAAGAACAAAGTGATATATTTTATATGTATTTTCAACATAAAATGTACACTTGAACATTTTCATTGCTTCATGAAGGGCATTGAAATGAGCAGATCAAAGGATAAAAGGCATGGGATAAAATATAGATGTTGATTAGACTATACCACAAAATCAGAATATTGACATTTGAGCAGACCAGGAATAAGAATTGCCTACATAAAAGCAAAAATAACTTGACATTCACTTTTTCATTGCAATTCTACTGCTTGTGTTGTTTATGATTTTAAAAATGTTTATAAATGGATAATTACTTTCTCTCTTGTTTTTATTGAGGTTTGCTGTGGAGGCCCATGACCCACTAGTTGAAGCACTGGTTACAGAAGCATGGACAAGGCTGGAAAGGCAAGTCCTCTGGCTTTATCATTTCAGATCAGGGTTATCCTGGTCAGGGTTTGCACAGGGAAGTCTTTCAGCAAGAGAATGCACAGCTGCTGCCAGGCTATCAAAGCTTCGTTGAAAAACAATGTATTTGTGCTCAATTTAGTTTGAGGGTTTTTGATTGTATATGTGTGTTCTTTCTTTAAGAGAGAAAGGAAAGAGTTTCAAATGTTCCCTCTTTAACTCAAAGCAGGGAATGTTGTATTTTTCCACATATATTAATTAAAATGTGAGTAAGCTGGAGTCACAGTATTCAGCTCTTTGAATCTTTTTATCTAGAAGAGTTCTTCAGAAAGAAAATATATTTTGTTCCTTCTACCTTCTTTCTTTCCTATTTGAAAAGCAGACACACTCACACACACACACACACAGGCAGGCAGGCACAGACAGACAGATAGACAGACTGAAGTTGTCTGTCCACTGGTTTACTCCACAAATAGCCAAAACAGCCAGGGCTAGGCCCAACCAAAGCTGGGAGCTAGGCACTCAATCTGGGTCTCCCAAATGGGTGGTGGCAATCCAGCTACTTTAACTGTCACCTAAGAAGCTGAGATTGGAAGAGGACTGAGAACTTGAACCCAAACTTGAGCTACATTTGATATGGGATGTGGTTGTCCTAACAGATGTCTTAACTGCTGTGCCAAATGTCTGCCCCAGAAAAGATTTTCTGACTGGCAGTCAGTTAAAACCTAGACATGAAGGAGCCATAAAAGGAGAAAAGGGGAGGCTGGCATTGTGGCATACCGAGTGTAGTCGCCACCTGTGACACTGGAGTCCCATATGGCTCCGATTTGTGTCCCAGCTGCTCTACTTTTGATCCATCTCCCTGCTCACAGCCCGGGAAAGGCAGCAGAAGATGGCCCAAGTGCTTGCACTTGCTACTCACATGGGAGACCCAATTGAGGCTCTTGGCTCTTGGCTCCTGGCTTCGGCCTAGTTCAGTCCTGGCTGATGCTGCCACTCGGGGAGTGAACCAGTGGATGGAAAACATCTCTCTCTCTCTCTTTCTAACTCTGACTTTCAAATTAAAAAAAAAAATTTGGAAGACACTAGTGGAAGGTTCTGTTTAACTATCTGGGAACATCTGCAGCTACTTTTCTATTACTCCATTTTTATGGAGAAATAAGACCAGAGCTTGTAGACGACTGTTAATACTGCTGTGGACAGTATTAACTCATGTCTGTTTCCTGCACTACATACATCTATGTTTGTAGCATGTTGCCATAATCGATAACACCTAGAAAAGGTGAGCACTATTGAGGGTACTCTTCGGAAACACAGAGGTCCATTCTGTAGGTTTTTATGGGAAGCTTTCTGTGTACAAAAGAGCTGAGATAATAGCAGAACTCATTTTGAAAAATCTCCAGCTATTTCTGAAAACTGAATTTTTCAACCTAGAAATATTGGATGGTCGGGGTCCATTATTAATGAAACAAGGAAAATATTAGTGAAAAAAGGGGAAAATCAAAGTGGGAAAGAAATAAGGGATTTCAACACCACAGAGCACCTCTTTCTCAAAGCTGGATGGAAACCTAGGCTAGAAAAGAAAGAACTGACTAAGAAACAACAAGCTATTTGTTGTCAAGGAGGTGTGGGCATTTCTACCATTTTTGTTTTTTAGCATGTTCCTTCTCAAAATTCAAACTGTGATAAATGCTTACAATTGTAGACATGTTGGCAAGCTCTGTAAGCCTTTGTTATCTGGGTTGATTTAAATTAAACGGGGACATAAGAGTTGTCTGTGTTTATTAATTTTGCATTCATCTACTAAATTTGATTTGACTTAAACTTACAATTTAAAATCTGTCTTCTCATCCATTCCATTTTTGTACTCTCTCTACCTGGAACCTTTTTTAACTGAGGATAAGCAGAGTAATCTTATTCCTTTCATGAACAGTAAGAACTGTTTGCTTTTTTTTATCTTTGATGTTAAATGTGGTAATTGTTGATAATAGGTCAATTTTATTTTTCTTTAAAGCAACATTAACTGTTTTATGTATTTTTTAGCGTGAATAGATCAATTGTAAAACCAGTGCCTTGGGCCGGCACCGTGGCTCAATAGGCTAATCCTCCGCGTGTGGTGCCGGCACACTGGGTTCTAGTCCCCGTCGGGGCGCCGGATTCTGTCCCGGTTGCTCCTCTTCCAGTCCAGCTCTCTGCTGTGGCCCGGGAGTGCAATGGAGGATGACCCAAGTGCTTGGGCCCTGCACCCGCATGGGAGACCAGGAGAAGCACCTGGCTCCTGGCTTTGGGTCAGCGCGGTGCACCAGCCGCAGCGCACCCGCAGCAGTGGCCATTGGGGGGTGAACCAATGGAAAAGGAAGACCTTTCACTCTTGTCTCTTTCTCTCTCACTGTCCACTCTGCCTGTCAAAAAAATAAAATAAAATAAAAAGTAAAACCAGTACCTTTTTTTACTATTAAACAAATAATTATGTATATACAGTTTACTTTCCAATGAATCAATTAAAATTTTTAAAATTTTTTTTTCTTTTTTTTTAAATTTTTTTGACAGGCAGAGTGGACAGTGAGAGAGAGAGTCAGAGAGAAAGGTCTTCCTTTACCATTGGTTCACCCTCCAATGGCCGCTGCAACTGGCGCTCCGCGCTGATCCAAAGCCAGGAGCCAGGTGCTTCCTCCTGGTCTCCCACGCGGGTGCAGGGCCCAAGGACTTGGGCCATCCTCCACTGCACTCCCGGGCAACAGCAGAGAGCTGGCCTGGAAGAGGGGCAACCGGGACTAGAACCCCGTGTGCCAGCGCCGCAAGGCGGAGGATTAGCCTGTTGAGCCGTGGCGCCGGCCAAAAATTTTAAAATTTCATAATAACTCAGGTTTTCTATATGTTATTTTTGTTACTGTAGCAGTACTTTTATTTTTTTTAATACTAAGTTGTAAAAAAATTTACAATCCTGACTTATGTTACATATATGTAATTTCTGATAGAGTCAGAATAAACACTGATTTCTTTCTTTTTTTTTTTTTAATTTTATTTATTTGAAAGAGTTACAGAGAGAGGTAGACAGAGGTCTTCCATCCACTGGTTCACTCCCTGGATGTCCGCAACGGCCAGAGCTGTGCCGATCCGAAGCCAGGAGCCAGGAACCAGGAGCCTCCTCCAGGTCTCCCATGCGGGTGCAGGGGCCCAAGGACCATCTTCTACTGCTTTCTCAGGCTATAGCAGAGAGCTGGATTGGAAGTGGAGCAGCCAGGACTCGAACCGGTGCCCATATTGGATGCCGGCACCTCAGTCCAGGGCTTTTTTTTTTTTTAATGATTTATTTATTTTACTGGAAAGAGTTACTCAGAGAGAGGAGAGGCAGAGAAAGAGAGAGAGAGAGAGGTCTTCCATTGATGATTCACTCCCCAATTGGCTGCAACAGCCGGAGCTGTGCCCATCCAAAGCCAGGAGCCAGGAGCTTCTTCTGGGTTGCCCATGCTGGTGCAGGGGCCCAAGGACTTGGGCCACCTTCTACTACTTTCCCAGGCCATAGCAGAGAGCTGGATCGGAAGAGGAGCAGCCAGGACTTGAACCGGCTCCCATATGGGATGCCGGTGCTTTAGGCCAGGGCTTTAACTGGCTGCGTCACAGCGCCAGCGCCATAAACACTGATTTCCAAAATTAGTCTTAGTGGCCCATTAGGTTAATTTTTTTTATTACCACAATAGCAATTAATCAGTGATCTTGCTAAAATATCTATGAATTTATATATTCTATGCATACACGTTATAATGGTTGATTTAGATAGGTTATTTTGTATCAGTATTTATGATGGATCATGTCAAGAATAATTAGAATGTACTTGAAATCCACATTTAAAAAAGAAAACCTCTTGGGGCCAGCTCTGTGGCATAGTGGGTAAAGCTGCTGCCTGCAGTGCTGGCATCCCATATGGGTGCCAGTTCTAGTCCTGGCTGCTCCTCTTCTGATCCAGCTCTCTGCTGTGGCCTAGGAAAGCAGTGGAAGATAACCCAAGTACTTGGACCCGTGCACTCACCTGGGGGACCTGGAAGAAGTTCCTGGCTCCTGGCTTTGCAGTGGCCCAGCTCCTGCCATAGCGGCCATTTGGAAAGTGAACCAGCCGATAAAAGACCTCTCTCTCTCGCTGCCTCTGTCTCTCTGTAACTCTACCTTTCAAAAAATAAAATATAAAATATAAATAAATCTTTTTAAAAAATTATGGCAACATCAGGAAAAAGAAAGAAAGAGAGAGGAGGAAGTCACTTTAAAAAAAAAGAAAAGATTTTAAACATTTACAAAAATAGAGAGACTAATATAATGAACTCCTGTGTCTCATCAACCAACTTCAAGTTACCAACATACAACCTCTACCTCCCATGTCCTCCTCTTCCTTCAGTATATTTTAAGTAGTGTTGTCATTGCATCTGTAAATACCTCTGTGTATATCTCTGAGAGATAAGGAGTCTTTAGAAAAGATTAGAGTAATAAAATTGAATAATAATTCCCTAATATCAGTTAATGTTATTCTGTGTTCAGATATCCTTGAGAGAGGGAGATAAGGAGAGGGAGAGAGAGAGAGAAATAGAGAGAGCAAGAGTGAGAGCGTGTGCTTCCATCCACTGATTCACTCCCAAATGACTGCAATGACCAGGGCTGGGCCAGGCTGGAGCAAAGAGCTTCTTTTAGGTTTCCCATGTGGGTGGCAGGGGTCCAAGCACTTGGGCCATCTTCTGCTGCTTTCTTAGGTACATTAGCAAGGAGCTGGTCAGAAGTGGAGCAGACAGGACTCACACTGGCACCCATACGGATGCCAGTGTCACAGGTGGCTTGATCCACTGTACCACAATGCTGGCTCCTAAAGGTCTTTTTTTTTTTTTTTAAGATTTATTTACTTATTTGAAAGGCAGAACTTCACAGAGACAGAGGCAGAGAGAGGAGTGAGAGAGAGAGAGAGAGAGAGAGAGAGAGAGAGAGAGAGAGAGAGAAATCTTCCATGTGCTGGTTCACTCCCCAGATGGCTGTAATGGCTGCAGCTGTGCTGATCAAAGCCAGGCGCCAGGAGCATCTTCCAGGTCTCCCACTCGGGTACAGGGACTAAAGGACTTGGGCCATCTTCTGCTGCTTTCCCAGGCCATAGCAGAGAGCTGGATCAGAATTGGAGCAGTCAGGACTCAAACAGGCACCCATATGGGATGCCGTCACTGCAAGCCAGGGCTTTAACCCGCTATGCCACAGCGCCGTCTCCTAAAGGTCTTTTTATAAGCAATTTAAATTAGTATCCAAACAAGGTTTGCACTTATGTATGTCTTAAATTTTTCTCTCTTAAATAGTTTGTTGAGGAATATCATATAAACCATCAAACATAAATATATAGCATGGTGAATTTTCATATACTGGTCACCTATATGTTAACAGCACTGAGATCAAGAAATAACATCACTAGCTGCCCAGAAGTTCCCTTTGTATTTTCTTCTGGTCCAATACCCACACCCCAAGAAGATCTTAACTTTTAATACTATAAATTAGTTGTATGTGTACTCTTACAATTAGTTTAGTTTGTTCAAAGTGTTTTAAGGATTTATCCATGATATTATATGATTCAGCAGTTACGACTTTTTTGTGTAGCTCTGTGGTATTTTATTGTATGAATATGTGCAATTAAAAAAATATTTGAAAAGCATAGTGACACAAATAGAGGGAAAGATAGAGAGATAGAGAGATATCGTCTATCCCTGACTTATTCTCCAAATTTGAGCACTGGCTAGGCCAGACCAAAGCCAGGAGCCAGGAACTCCATCTGGTCTCCCACATGGGTGGCAGGAATCCAAGTACTTTGACCACCATCTGCTACCTCCCAGGTGCATTAGGAGGAAGCTGGATCAGAAACTCAGAGTATGTGGGCCTTGAACCAGGTATCTCAAGCAGTTGCTAACTCTGCTGCACCACAACACCTGCCCCATTGTTGTGTGCAATTTATTTATTGTACTTTTAATGGACATTTAGATTGTTTGCAGCTTTTTGCTGTCATGTTATGCTGCTATAAACTTGGTTATGCTTGTCTTTTTTTTTAAAGATTTATTTATTTGAAAGGCAGAGTTACAGAGAGGCAGAGGCAGAAAGAAAGAAAGAGTGAGAGTGAGAGTGAGAGAGAGAGAGAGAGAGAGAGAGAGGTATTCCATCCGCTAGTTCACTCCCCAGATGGCCTCAACAGCTGGAGTTGAGCTGATCCAAAGCCAGGAGGCAGGAGCCAGGAGCTTCTTCTGGGTATTCCATGTGGGTGTGGGGGCCCAAGGACTTGGGCCATCTTCTGCTTTCCCAGGGCATAGCAGAGAGCTGGATTTAAGTGGAGCAGCCAGGACTCAAACCAGTGCCCATATGGGATGCCAGCATTGCAGGCAGAGGATTTACCTGCTTAAGTCGCTGTGCCAGCCCCATGTTATGCTTGTCTTTTAGTGAATTAAAAAATTAAAATCTAGTAATTCTTCTCTCTTTTTTCTTGCCATTTTCTTGAAGAAATTGGGTTCTGAAGTTTTTCACAGTAATGTTGTAGTAACTGGTTTTATTTTATCTATTAATAAACAACCTGGAGAAAACTAATTTCTTAAGAAACTTTGCGAGATTAATAAGTAAATAATTCAAAGAATTTTGAAAGATTTCTTTACTCTTTTATTTATTTATTTATTTATTTTTGACAGGCAGAGTGGACAGCGCGAGAGAGAGACAGAAAGGTCTTCCTTTTGCTGTTGGTTCACCCTCCAATGGCTGCCGAGCCGGTGTGCTGCGGCTGGCGCACCGCACTGATCCAATGGCAGGAGCCAGGTGCTTCTCCTGGTCTCCCATGGGGTGCAGGGCCCAAGCACTTGGGCCATCCTTCACTGCACTCCCGGGCCACAGCAGAGGGCTGGCCTGGAAGAGGGGCAACCGGGACAGAATCCAGCGCCCCACCCGGGACTAGAACCCGGTATGCTGGCGCCGCAAGGCGGAGGATTAGCCTAGTGAGCCACGGTGCTGGCCTCTTTACTCTTTTTTTTTTTTTTTGACAGGCGGAGTGGACAGTGAGAGAGAGAGACAGAGAGAGAAAGGTCTTCCTTTTGCCGCTGGTTCACCCTCCAATGGCCGCCGCTGCAGCCGGCGCACCGCGCTGATCCTGGCAGGAGCCAGGAGCCAGGTGCTTTTCCTGGTCTCCCATGGGGTGCAGGGCCCAAGCACCTGGGCCATCCTCCACTGCACTCCCTGGCCATAGCAGAGAGCTGGCCTGGAAGAGGGGCAACCGGGACAGAATCCGGCGCCCCAACCGGGACTAGAACCCGGTGTGCCGGCGCCGCAAGGTGGAGGATTAGCCTATTGAGCCACGGCGCCGGCTCTGGCCTCTTTACTCTTTAAAGATTTCTTTTATAGAATCTGGTTTGTTAACTGTTACCATTTGTTTTGTAGCAGTAAATAATTGACATCTTAGAAAATTTAAGTTAGTAATATATTAGTATTTTATAACTGTATTCTAAGTAAAAGTAAATATGTAAATACTAATGATCTTGCTATTTCCTTTAACAGGTTTGACTTTAATGTATTGTCTAAATTTTCCACTTGCCTAGTGGATCAGCATTTGAATTTAAGTCCATTAATGGGAGAAATAGCTGATATTGTAAATAGGAACTTGGAAGCCATACAAGACTTAAGGTAAATTTATTTATGGGCCTTGTGTAGTGTCATTTTCAGATTCTGGGCTTTGGATACAGACACCGATTTGCCACTCATACTTTTGTTACTTAATAATGCCAATTTACTTAACTTGGAAATTCACTGTTCTCATCTATAATAGAGGTAGTAAAATCTACATTGCAATGTTGTTGTGGGAGTTAGAGATAAGGAACATTACACAGTATTGTTGAGATCTATGAAGGGTATACGATTCTATCTTACTTGGAACCTTACAAGCTTGCTTGCCATACTGACAGAGGAAATGAGACTTGTAGGTTAACGACAAAGTATTTCTCACAGCCTTTGCAGTGGCCAAACTATCAACAGAATTTTCTTTTTTTTTAAAATTAATTAATTTATTTTAGGGGTAGAGTTATATATAGATAGAGAGAGAGACAGAGAAAGAGATCTGGTTCACTCCCCAGATGGCTGCAATGGCCAGAACTGAGCTGATCTGAAGTCCGGAGCCAGGTGCAGGTGCCCAATCATTCGGGCCATCCTTATGCTTTCCCAGGCCGTAAGTGGAGAGCTGGATTGGAAGAGGAGCAGCTGAGACTCGAACTGGCACCCATATGGGCTGCCAGTGCCACAAATGGAAGCTTAGCTTACTACGCCACAGCACCAGCCCCCATCAGCATTTTCTTGTGCTGTTTACCAGAGCTCCAATTCAAACAGTGGGACATGTGCCAGGAGAGGAATGCTGGGCTTAGGGAACCTGTATATTTATAATAGATGGTAAATTGTTCTGTGCTCCTGAGGAGGACACTATCTCTATGCTACTAGGCTGTTTTCTCTACAGAGCAGACATCCTTGAAAACATGGTTCTGAACAAAGGCCCTCAGCGCCTTGGCAACATGTGTAGACATTTGTGGAATGAGCAGAGAATTGTTTCCCAAGAAGTGTCTACAACAAGTTGCTCAATGACCAATAGTTGCTAGTATTGTTATTGTTACATATTGAAGTGAATTTGTAATAATTTGGGAGCCACATTTGAGGAGTTTCTCTGGTTCACAGGCCAGCGGTTCGTAGGTTTGTTTAGTTTTAGCATGGTGGGATTACTTCCTGTTAATACTAACTAACCTTCATAATGCAGTGTCATTATTATCTTCCGTGTTTCAGATATAGCTTCCTAGCACATTACTTTAGTTTGTTTTATATTTTAAAGATTTATTTATTTATTTGAAAGGCAGAGTTACAGAGAGGCAGAGGCAAAGGCCGAGAGAGAGAGGTCTTCCATCTGCTAGTTCACTTCCCAAAAGGCTAAAGCTGAAGTTGGGCTGATCTGAAGCCAGGAGCCAGGAGCTTCTTCTGGGTCTCCCACGTGGGTACAGGGGCCCAAGGACTTGGGCCATCTTCTACTGCTTTCCCAGGCCATAGCAGAGAGCTGAATCGGAAGTGGAGCAGCTGGAACTCAAACCGGTGCCCATATGGGATGCTGGCACTACAGGTGGCAGCTTTACCCACTACGCCACAGTGCTGGCTCCAGCACATTACTTTTTTTTTTTTTTAATATTTTATGTATTTATTCAAAAGTCAGAGTTACACAGAGAGAAGAGAGGCAGAGAGAGAAAGAGAGAGGTCTTCCATCCGTTGGTTCACTCCCCAATTGGCCGCAATGGCTGGAGCTGTTCTGATCCTAAGACAGGAGCCAGGAGCCAGGAGCTTCTTCCGGGTCTCCCACGTGGGTGCAGGGGCCCAAGGACTTGGGCCACCTTCTGCTGCTTTCCCAGGCCATAGCAGAGAGCTGGATCAGAAGAACAGCCAGAAAAAAAAAAAAAAAAAGAACAGCCAGGACCAGAACCGGCGCCCATGTGTGATGCCGGCACTTCAGGCCAGGGCTTTAACTTGCTGCGCCATAGTGCCGACCCCCAACATAGTGTTTTGAGATTCATTCATGTTATTGGATGTATCAGTAGTTCATTTCTTTCTGTTACTGAATAGTGGTTCATTGTGTAATATGCCATAGATTGTTTATTTGTCTGTTGATGAACATGTGGACTACTTCTCATTTTTGGTTATTATTATAAATGAAACTGCAATGAATATCCTAATTCTAATCTTTTGTAGGTGTATCTGTTTCTCTTGAATAGATACCTAGGAGTGGAATGTCTGGGTCATGGGATAAATACATGATTTTAAGGAGCTGCTACATACTCAGGATTTTCCAAGTGGTCATGTGATGAGGAATCTTCAAAAAGTTCATTGAAAATGTGTATTATAAAAAAATTATGCATGATTTCAAAATTATTTGCCTCAAAATAAACTTATCTTTAAATTACATTTTCCATGAATTTTTTGAAGTACTTTCGTATTTTGCATTCCCCTAGGTGATATAAAAGAGGGTCCTAGTTTCTCCATAAATGGCCAACATTTGATTTTATCAGCCTTAGCTATTCAAGTGGGATTTTAATTTGTAATTTCTTTTCAACTAATGTGTTGAATACTTTTTCATGTGCTTATGGCCATTCCTATGTCTCCTTTGTGATTTCTGTTTCAATCTTCTGCATATTCTTTTTTTTTTTTTTTAGCAGGCAGAGTCAGTGAGAGAGAGACACACACAGAGAGAAAGGTCTTTCTTCTGTTGGTTCACCCCCGACATGGCCTCTACGGCCGATGCGCTGCGCCGATCTGAAGCCAGGAGCCAGGTGCCTCCCTCTGGTCTCCCATGGGGTACAGGGCCCAAGCACTTGGGCCATTCTCCACTGTCTTCCCGGGCCACAGCAGAGAGCTGGCCTGGACGAGGAGCAACCGGGACAGAACCGGCGCCCCAACCGGGACTAGAACTTGGGGTGCCGGCGTCGCAGGCGGAGGATTAGCCTAGTGAGCCGCGGTGCCGGCCCTGCACATTCTTAATAATAGGATTGTCTTCCTTAATAATTGGATTGCACCGATCTGAAGCCAGGTGCCAGGTGCATCCTTCTGGTCTCCCAAGCGGGTGCAGGGCCCAAGGAACTGGGCCTTTTTTTTTTTTTTTTTTTTTTTTGACAGACAGAGTTCGACAGTGAGAGAGACAGAGAGAAAGGCATGGTGGCTTATAATGCTGTGCCACAATGCTGACCCCTACAGATATTATTTTGTAAGTATCTATTGGACCATCTTGAGGTGGAGAAGTGCTGAGATTAGAGAAGAAACTAAGAAAACTGTTTAAAATTCAACAGTGTTGGCCGGCGCCGCGGCTCACTAGGCTAATCCTCCGCGAATCCACCACATTGGAGCTAGTTCTAGTCCCGGTCGGGGCGCCAGATTCTGTCCTGGTTGCCCCTCTTCCAGGCCAGCCCTCTGCTGTGGCCAGGGAGTGCAGTGGAGGATGGCCCAAGTGCTTGGGCCCTGCACCCCATGGGAGACCAGGATAAGTATCTGGCTCCTGCCATCGGATCAGCGCGGTGCTCCGGCCGCAGCGCGCCGGCCGCGGCGGCCATTGGAGGGTGAACCAACGGCAAAGGAAGACCTTTCTCTCTGTCTCTCTCTAACACTGTCCACTCTGCCTGTCAAAAAAATATTCAACAGTGTTGGTGATAGAAACTTAATTACTAGTGGGTAAGTAGAGTCAGTGTAAGTTGATAGTATGACCCTTATATTATTAGGTTCTCCATGGTAATACAAGGTAGAATTAGGAAGAAGGTTGAGAATGACAGCTGATTAAAGATTGGGAGAATATCTAGGGAAGACAGGAGATGACTTGAAATGCTAAGGTGAGGATCTGAAATGAGAAAGGAACAGTGATCTAGAACTGAAAGAAAGGGAAAAATTTGAACGTAAATATCTGTGTAGCTTAATCCCCAAACATTCTACTAAGAATCTATTACTTTCATTTTCTACATAAGGACCTAAGGCTTTGTGAGGTTTGGTAAATTCCCCAAAGCCTCTCAACCTGTAAATGGGGAAACCACAATTTAAATCCAGGTTTTCTGATTCCAAAGAATAGTACTACGTGTGAATATTTTTTGACACCTCTTTTTTTTATTTATTTTGCTATTTGTTCTTCATACATATTTGAAAATAATAGGAAATAACACCTGGGTTGACAAAGGTGTAGAGAAATTAGAACCCTTGAGTATTGCTGGTAGGAATGTAAAATGGTACAGCTGTTGTGGAAAACAGTTGTGTGGCAGTTCCTTAAAAAATTAAACATAGAGGGGCTGGCGCTGTGGTGCAGGAGGATAATCCTCTGCCTGTGGTGCCATCCCATATGGGTGCTGGTTCAAGTCCTGGCTGCTCCACTTCCTATCCAGCTCTCTGCTGTGGCTGGGAAAGCATAGAAGGTGCCAAGTGCTCAGGCCCCTGCACCTGTGTGTGATACCTGGAAGAAACTGCTGGCTCCTGGCTTCAGATCGGTGCAGCGCCAGCTGTTGTGGCCATTTGGGGAGTGAAACAGTGGAAGGAAGACCTTTCTCTCTGTCTCACTGTCTGTAACTCTACTTATCAAATAAATAAATAAATAAAATCTTAAAAAAATAAGCATAGAATTATCATGGGATCCAGTAATCCCTCTTCAGGGTATATACTTAATAGAATTCAAAGCAGAGACTCAAGCAGATATTTGGACATCAGGGTTCATAGCACTATTATTTACAAAAGCTGAAAGTTGAAAGTGACCTACGTGTCCATCATTGATGGACTAGTGGATAAAGGTAATACAGTATATATACAGTATTTTACTCAACTTTAAAAGGAAAGAAGTTCTGGGGTCGACGCTGTAGCACACTAGGTTAATCCTCTGCCTGCAGTGCTGGCATCCCATATGGGCGCCAGTTCTAGTCCTGGCTGCTCCTCTTCTGATCCAGCTCTCTGCTGTGGACTGGGAAAGCAGTGGAAGATGGCCCAAGTGCTTTGGCCCCTGCACCCGCATGGGCAACCAGGAAGAAGAACCTGGCTCCTGGCTTCAGATCGGTGCAGCTCTGTCCATTGTGGCCATTTGGGGAGTGAACCAACGGAAGGAAGACCTTTCTCTCTGTCTCTCCCTCTCACTGTCTGTAACTCTACCTCTCAAATAAATAAATAAGTGAATCTTAAAAAAAAAAAGAAGTTCTGACACATGCAATAACATGGATGAAATGTGGAAGACTTTGTGCTCAGAGAAACTAGGCACAAAATGACAAATAATTATGACTCCATTTACTTGAGGTATTTCAGTAGCCAGGTTCATAGGAACAGAAGCAGAACTGTTATTGCCTAGGAGGTGAGAATAGGGAGTCTCTGTTTAGCGGATAAAGAATTTCAATTTGGGCAAGTGAAAATCTTCCGCAGGTTGATGGTGGAGATGGCTGCATAACAATGCAAATATACTTAATGCTGCTGAACTGTGTACTTAAAAATGGTTAAAATGTCAGTTGTATTTATATTATACCTCCCCACACACATAAGAAAGTAGTCCATAAAAGTAGAGATGATAAAAAATTACTTTTATTTTTAACTTTTAAAAAGTTTTTGTACATTCCAGGGCCAGCATTGTGGTGTAGCAGGTAAAGCCACTGCCTATGATGCTGACATTTATATTTATATAAATGTGTGGGCCCAGCAGCAGCGGGGTGTTGGCTGGTTCACATTTATATTGGCTGGTTCACTTCCACTCCAGCTCCCTGCTAAGGGCCTGGGAAAAGCAATGGAAGATGGCCTAAATTTTTGGGCCCCTGCCACTCATGTGAGAGACCAGGATAAAGCTCCTGGCTCCTGGTTTCTACCTGGCCCAGCCCTGTCTGTTTTGGCCATCTGGGGAGTGAAGCAGTGAATGGAAGATCTCTCTGTCTCTCCCTCTCTCTGTAACTCTGTCCAGATAAATACATAAATCATTTAAAAAATCCTTTTTTATAAATCCCTTTGAGAATCTTATCTTTGAACACTTTCCCACTGTTAACTGTAATTACAAATTAGATATACAGTTTAAAAAACCACTTCAGGGGGCTGGCGCTGTGGCACACCAGGTTAAAATCCTGGCCAGCATCCCATATGGGCGCCAGTTCTAGTCCCGGCTACTCCTCTTCCAGTCCAGCTCCCTGCTATGGCCTGGGAAAGCAGTGGAGGATGGCCCAAGTCCTTGGGCCCCTCCCTGTACCCACGTGGGAGACCTGGAGGAAGCTCCTGGCTCTTGGCTTCGGATCGGCCCAGCTCCTGCCATTGCAGCCATCTGGGGAGTCAACCATTGGATGGAAGACCTCTCTCTCTGTCTCTACCTCTCTCTGTAACTCTGTCTTTCAAATAAATAAAATAAATCTTTAAAAAAAAAACTACTTCAGGGAATTTATACTTAAATTAAGTAACCATATTAGGTTAATAATGTTAATTGCTATTAATGTGAAACATTTTTACTTGAGAAGCCAAAATACTGCATAACTGGAGATTTTTTTGAAAAAGATTTATTTATTTATTTGAAAGTCAAAGTTACACACAGAGAGAAGGAGAGGCACAGAGAGAGAGAGAGGTCTTCCATCCGCTGATTCACTCCCCAGTTGGCCACAACGGCCCGAGCTATGCTGATCCAAAGCCAGGAGTCAGGAGCTTCCTCTGGGTCTCCCACATTGGTGCTGGCTCTAGTTGTCTTTTTTGTAGATTATTTTCTGAATCATTCTTATTTGTAAGACTCTGATTTTGTGTTGTCTAAGAGAGGCAGAGTTATAGGCAGAGAAGGGGAGAGACAGAGAGAGAGGTCTTCTATCTGCTGGTTCACTCCCCAAATGGCTGCAACAGCCAGAGCTGAACTGATCTGAAGCCAGGAACCAGGAGTTTCTTCCAGGTCTTCCTACAGGTGCAGGGGCCCAAGGACTTGGGCCATCTTCCACTGCTTTCCCAGGCCATAGCAGAGAGCTAGATCGGAAGTAGAACAGCCAGGACTCGAACTGGCACCCATATGGGATGCTGGCACTGCAGGCCAGGATTTTAACCTGCTGTGCCACAGCACCAGCCCCAATGTGGTATTTTAAGCACTGTGCCAAATGTCTGTGCAAGTCTCACTACTATTTAAAAGAAAAATTTTATGGTATAAAACTCATGATATTTTTACTAATTCATTCCTGTACATAATTTAGCTTTAGAATTAGTCATTATGCTTAAATAATGTAAAAATCTTTGCACCTTTTTCCTTTTTCAGGTCTTTGTCTGTCTTGATGGTCAGCATATCATCTTTAATATCACAACATTTTCAAGAACAATTAGTGAAAAAAGCAGAAGTGCTTTTTGACACCATAAATCATTGTGACATCAACATTGCAAGAAGAATAGTACAGTTTCTTCGAAATGTGAATTGTAGTTATTACCCACTACTAGAAAGATGTAATAAAGTGTTTTTAAGCAACATGAGCCACCTTGATTTGGATTCCATCAGTAAAATATTTGGTCTTTACCAGTGTCTACAGTTTCATAGTTTTGAATTTATTACAATGGCTAAAGAAAGGCTAACTGAAATGATTCCTCTGTTTGATCACCCTGCAAGCTTTGCCAAATTGTTTGTAGCACTGGGACCCATAGCAGGACCTAAAGAGAAGAAACAGTAAGTTCAGTTTAAAATACTTTACTTTTCTTGTTGGGAATCTATGGAGCCTTCAAGCTTAGGTTTTCTTGAACCTCTGAAAGGGACAAAACTCACCCTCATAGGTCTTGGAAGAAAAAACAATCTCTTGTGCTCTTTTTTGAGAAGTCTAATTTATATCTCCCACTCTTAGTTGACTGCTTTGTTCTGAAAGGTAGCCAACACCCCGCTGCTGCTGGGCCCACACAGAAAAAGATGAGAACTCCTTTTAGGTGCTTTGTTCTCTCTTACTAGGCCATGTGACTGGATTGGAGTGTATGGAATGATAGAATTCTAGTTGTCCTGACACATACGCATCATTAGTAGATTCAGTTAAGCAGGGGTTGATTTAGTGAGAAAACTGCATTATTGTTGTTTTAGGGGAAAATACGTGGAGAAGTTTTATTTTTCTTTGTTTATTTCCATTTATTTGAAAGGCAGAGAGACAGAGAGAAATCTTACACCCCCTGGTTCCCTTTCAAATGCCCAAATGCCTGCAATAGCCATGGCTGGGTCAGGCTAAAGCCAGGAGCCCAGAACTCCATCAGGGTCTCCCATGTAGGTGGCAGGGACAGAAGAACCTGATCGATCCATAACCACTGCTTCCCAGTGTGCATTATCAGCAGGAAACTGGGATCAGAAGTGAAGCCAGAACTTGAACCTAGGCATTCTTGATATAGGATGCCGGTGTCCCAAGCAGCATTTTAACTGCTGTACTGAACGCCTGTCCTGAGAAATTTTATTTTTAAGAATCCAATGAAGTATATGAAAAATTTAAGGGCACATCTTAGGAGGTTGTCAAGGGACTGGTGTTGTGGTATACTGGGTTAAGCAGCCACCTGCAATGCTGGCATCCCATATGGGCACTGGTTCAAGTCTCAGCTGCTCAACTTCCAATCTAGCTCCCTGCTATTGACCTAGGGAAAGCAATGGAAAATGGTCCAAGTGCTTGAGTCCCTGTACCTACATGGGAGACCAGGAAGAAATTTCTGCTCCTGGCTTTAGTCTAACCGACCCCTGGCCATTGGGGCATCTGGAGAATGAACTAGCAGATGGAAGATCTCTTCTCTGCTTCTCCCTCCCTCTCTCTAACTCTGCCTTTAAAATAAACATATCTTTTTTTTAAAAGATTGTATCAAGATTGAATAAAGTATGATTTTTAAAAAAGCTTTAATTAAAATATTTTTATTATTATTTTTATATTATTAAGATCTCATTTGCTTAAGTAGTACAAAAGTTGGTTCAACTGAGTCCTTGCCTTCAAAGATTTTATATGCCAATTGGGAGGATAGAAATATGTAATTAAAATTGCAAATATTCTAGCATCACAACATAGTGTATGAATAAATGCTAGAATTAATGTTATAGAAAGTGCCAACAGAGAAGTGAAAAAGAAATGTAGACTGAGGTGACTGGGGAAGCTTTGGGAAATGCTGTGTTTGTAATGTTTGACACAGTTGGTGAAAGGGATGGTGTGGAACTGACTGGTTAATCCCCCCTGCTCTCAGGAGAGTCCATGATTTGGACTTGCCTTCTAAGTTATTCTGTTGTTAGTGTCATGATTACATGACACTAACTTTGAGAGAGTTTCAAAATAAGTCATCTTTGTTAGTTTTTTGTTTATAACATTATCGTAAGCAGTGAGTATATGAGATTTCTATTACTATGCAAATATATTGACTTCCTGATTAGATATTATTTTATTTGAAAACATTTGATACGATTAGAATATCAGTTGTTAGTTCCTTAACTCTGCAATACTGAATAATTTCATAGTATTTTTTTTAAAGATTTATTGATTTATTTGTTTGAAAGGCAGATTTACAGAGAAGCAGAGGCAGAGAGAGAGAGAGAGAGATCGGTCATCTATCTGCTGTTTATTCCCCCTATGGCTGCAATGGTCAGAGCTGTGCTGATCTGAAGCCAGGAGCCAGGAACTTACTCCAGGTCTCCCATGTGGGTGCAGGGGCCCAAGGACTTGGGCCATTTTCCACTGCCTTCCCAGGCCATAGCAGAGAGCTAGATTGGAAGTGGAACAGCCAGGTCTTGAACTGTTGGCACTGCAGATAGAGGCTTTAACCACCACGCCACAGCACTGGCCCCAACGCTCATAGTATTTTATAACCATTGTAGCCTTTTCTTATTTGAAAATCATTAGAAGATCTTTTCTCTGTATTTTTTAAAGAAACAGTAATTGGGTAATACCAAGGCCTTAATTATTTTGATAAAAAATGCATTTGTTTTATTCAATAGTGTTTTACATGAAACCCCATGTATGTGGGGAAAAAAATACAAAAATATTTTGAAAAGTTCATGGAAAAATTGAATTAAAATATGCATTTATTTTGGTATAAAAATTTGGAATCCATGCATAATTTTTTCATAATAAAAATTTTCCATAGACATTAAGAAAATATCTTATGAAATTATATATTAAATTTTTGTTTATAGTGATTTCTGTTATTTAATAACTTATTTTGGAAAAAATTGCAAGCTAATTTTCAATATTTTGATATAAAGTATTTCTCTTTGCTTGTAGACTTGAGTCAACTATATTGTTGATGTCAGAGGAGCTGACAAGCCAGCAAGTCCTGGCCGTGGTGGGAGCAATGAAAGAAATGGAAAGCAAGAATTCACATCTGAATAAAAAGTAATCTTTGACGACATTCGTGGTATTGTCATTCAATAAGTAATTTTTTCAGAGGAAAAAATTATTTCTGTATAATCTAAATGTTGTTTAGAAGAAATAAAGGAATTAACACATAAGGCATTGTTTATATATTTTTTAAAAAATAGAGATATCACAGTTAGTCATAGTGTCTTTCGTTATGCTCGAGTGCAACATCATAACCTGGGGAGGGAAGAGCAGAGAACAGGGATTCTGTAGAACAATTAACATCATGTAAATTTAAATTGTCTAGCACTATAAGATAGTGTGACCTTGATAACATACTACCATGTATTGGCTTTCTGGGCAACTTGAGGTTTATTTTTTTTAAATTGTTTTAATTTTAATTTTAATTAGTTTTTAATAGGTTTGGCCACTTGAGATTTAAGAAGTAAAGATATGTAGTTCAAAGTATTTATGCTTAATTTTTCACTATTCATTATTCCTTTTTTCTTTTTTTTGAAGATGTATATATTTATTCCGAAGGCAGAACGACACAAAGAGAGGGAGAGGGAGAGAGAGTTATCTTCCATCCTCTGGTTCTTTCCTAAAATGGCCTTTTAACTATGGCTGGGTCAGGTTGAATCCAGGAACCTGGAACTCCATCCGGGTCTCCACAGTGGGTGGCAGGGACCAAGTGCTTGCCCATCTGCTGCTGCTTTCCTAGGCGCATTAGCAGGGAGCTGGAAGGGAAGCAGGGACTGGAACCAGTGCTCTGATATGGGATGCCAGTGTCACAAGCAGTATTTGACCTGCTATACCCTGGTGCAGGCCACATATGTTCCTTTATTTTCATTTTTCCTTCCTCTCCAGTTCTTCCAACTTACTGTCTCTTACCATTGCTTTTTGTTTTTCAGAAGTTCCATTTTGGGGCCTGTATTGCGTAGCAGATTAAGCCACTGCCCATGACACCAGTGTCCCATATGAGTACCAGTGAGTCTCAACTGCTCTTCTTCCAATCCACCTCCCTGCATATGTGCCTGAGAAAGCAGCAGGAGATGGCCCAAAAGCTTGAGTCCCTGCCAACCACCTGGGAGACCCAGTTCTAGTTCCAAGCTCCTGGTCCGGGTGGTTGTGGCCATTTGGGAAGTGAATCAGCAGATGAAAAATTCTCTCACTTTTTCTCTCTTTGTCTCCCTCTCTTTCTGTCACTCTGTCCTTCAAAATAAATAAAAATAAAAAAAAAAAAAAGAAGACATGGAAGACCTCTCTCTCCCTCTGTCACCCTGCCTTTTTTTTTTTTTTTTTGTCATTTTATTTTATTTTATTTTTCTAGAGAAAGGTCTTCCTTTTTCCGTTGGTTCACCCCCCAATGGTCGCTGCGGCCGGCGCACTGCGCCCATCCAAAGCCAGGAGCCAGGTGCTTCTCCCAGTCTCCCATGTGGGCACAGGGCCCAAGGACTTGGGCCATCCTCCACTGCACTCCAGGGCCACAGCAGAAAGCTGGACTGGAAGAGGGGAAACCGGGACAGAATCTGGTGCCCTGACTGGGGCTAGAACCCAGGGTGCTGGCACCGCAGGAGGAAGATTAGCCTATTGAGCCGTGGCACCGGCCTACCCTGCCTTTCAAATAAATAAAAATAAAACCCCCCAAAAGAGAAAAAGTCTCCATATGGGGGCTACTGGACTTAAGTGAGAAAATTGAATCAGTTTGTCCCTCTTCTTAGCTGTTGATATTGAATATTATTCATATCTTGTTGATCACTTGTTTTCATTCTTTTTGTTTACATTCCTATCACCATCTTGAGACAGTTCTAAAAGGACAGAACACCTTGCCTCATTCATTAGTATTGCTATAGCACAAAGCAGAGTGTCATGAAAACTGTACTAAATGTTTATAAGTAAAGTAAATGAATGAACTCTTATATGTCCTATCGTTCTTTCAAGGATTGCTTCAATTCTGCATAAACATTTGGATAAATACAAACCAATAGAGTTATTGAAGATAATTCAAGCATCAGTTTTTCTACATTTTCGAAGTAAAGAGTTTTTTGTGAAACTCAGAGAATTACTGCTTAGGTAAGATCAAAATAGAAGTGTTTGTTTAGAGTTTCATGTTATAATCTAGCTACAATATTTGTTTCATTTGATAACATACAGTGTTGTAACTTTCAGAGGTAAGATTTCGTTGCTTATTTGATTTTTTTTGTTTTTGTTTTTGTTTTTGTTTTTGTTTTACAGGCAGAGTGGAGAGTAAGAGAGAGAGACAGAGAGAAAGGTCTTCCTTTGCCGTTGGTTCACCCTCCAATGGCCGCTGCGGCCGGTGCACTGCGGCCGGCGTGCTGCAGCTGGCGCACTGCACTGATCCGAAGCCAGGAGCCAGGTGCTTCTTCCCGGTCTCCCATGTGGGTGCAGGGTCCCAAACACCTGGGCCATCCTCTACTGCCCACAGCAGAGAGCTGGACTGGAAGAGGAGCAACCTGGGCTAGAATCCAGCGCCCACATGGGATGCCGGTGCTGCAGGCGGAGGATTAACCTAGTGAGCCACGGTGCTGGCCCCACCGTTTAACCTTAAAAGCATTTCCCCATATCATTGGACTTTCCATAAATCTTTTTTAGTGGCTAGATAATAACCATCCTATGATTGTATCATAATACCTTGAGTATTGCCCATAATTGAGTTTTTTTTAAAGATTTATTTATTTATTTGAAAGTCAGAATTACACACAGAAAAAAGGCAAGGCAGAGAGAAAGAGAGGTCTTCATTTGCTGGTTTACTCCCTGATTGGCCGCAACGGTCAGAGTTGCACTGATCCGAAGCCTGGAGCCAGGAGCTTCTTCTGGGCCTCCCATGTGGGTGCAGGGGCTAAAAGACTTGGGCCATCTTCTACTGCCTTTCCAGGCCAAGGCAGAGAGCTGGATAGGAAGTGGAGCAGCCAGGACTCAAACTGATGCCCATATGGGATGCCGGCACTGTAGGGGACGACTTTATCCCCTACACCACAGTGCTGGCTCCAACATAATTGAGTTTTTACATTGTTTTCAAATTTAAGCCAGATTGAAAATATGATGGGATCTGGCATTGTAAGCACAGTGGGTTACAGTGTCCCATATCGGGGTGCTGTTTTGAGTCCTGGCTGCTCCACTTCCGATCCAGCTCTCTGCTATGGCCTGGGAAAGCAGTGAAAGATGGCCCAAGTCCTTGGGAGACCAGAGGAAGCTCCTGGTTCCTGGCTTTGGCATAGCCCAGCCTTGGTTATTGCTGCCATTTAGGGAGTGAACCAGCAGATGGAAGTCTCTCTCTGCCTTTCCAATAAATAATTAAATCTTTTTTTAAAAGTAATGAATGAGAATGCTTATATCATTGTGGTCTTGCTAGCATTGTATTTTATGATCATTTTAATATGCTAATTTAATATTTTAAATGTAATTTCATTTTAGATTGGGTTATTCCATCTACTACTTTCAAAACTAAAGTTTCTCTAAAAACTCCCAGTATTTTATTTAACAATTGCTGTCTTGATGGTGGGACTTCTACCATGCAGATCGGGGAAAGGAGAAACAGAGAATGGGGTGAATTGTGTGTGTGTGTGTGTGTGTGTGTGTGTGTGTGTTTTCTTTAAGGATGGACTTCCTTTATACCAGAAATGAGAAGGTACCGATATTATTGAGTGATCACTATATATCAGGGCCTGTACTAGCTCACACCAGCTCCTGACAGGCCATACCAGAAATTGGACCCAGATTCTTTGTATAGTAATAGCAATAGAAACATTGTTCTGGCACTGACCTTTTGTTTGCCAGGGACAATCATTTTATGTTACATACAAAATTTGGTGTGTGCTTCAAGACACCTTACACTTCCCTTAGTAACCTTTTATGGGCCTGTCTTCTTTGAATTTACCTAACTTTTCTTCAGTTAGCATGTATTTTAAGCCTAAATAACCTATAATAATAATTATATTCACACTTTAATGCACTAATTTTTTGATGATGTATTAATTTTGTTTCATTTTCCCCTTCCTTTGTAGTTATCTGAAAATCAGTGTCATGCCAAGTGAGATTTCCATCCTGGTCCACGCTATTTGCATGCTTCCTAATCCTCGGCTAAATGAAGCAGTGATAGCCCGAGTTGAAGAAGTTTTGCCGTGCTGTGACCTCACTGAGCTGAGTGTTTTTGTCACATCTGTTTTAAGATGGATTCAGTATGAGCACGTGTATTCAGATGGTCTTCCTGGGAAACAGCTGAAACTACTTCAAAAGTTAGATCACTATGGTTGCCAGAGACTACAACAAAGCAATAGTTTGGATCTGTTACGGAAGGAACTGAAAGTTTTAAAAGGAGACTGGTTTTCTGAGTCACTTCTTGAAGAGACATTTGCAGCTTTACAGCGTTTGATGAATGAAATTAATGGCACAAATGTTGCAGAAATTGCATCTTTCATCTCTAGAACTAACTACCTCAGTACTTTGCTGCTTGATAGAATAGCCTCCGTGGTTGTTCAGGAGATTGAAAAGGTGAAATGTAAATGTTACACGTTAGTCCTGCATAGTTGTCAAGTCCTCAAAGCATAATTTGTATTGGAAGTACTTTGAGAACTTGGATTGGTATTTGAAGTTTAAAAGCTAACCTCTGATTTCGGGTTCAACAGTTTGTTGTTGCTCCCCTTAAAGCCACTTTCTTCCTCTAGCACTGCAGATCTGGGGAGATTGTTACAGTTTTTTTAAGATTGGTAATCAGAATTATTTGATGAGAGGAAATACTTAAAACAATACTCATTGCATTAATATAGTGGATTATGGATTGTTGCTTTTCCTGTTTCTTTTTTCATGTGAGCCTGTGATATTGCTTTTATTACTGAAAACAAGTACATTCAAAATCACTAGAAATTACAAGATACCCACTGACATCAGTATTCTTAAATTGTCACTGTATCTTCTTACTGATTTATTTCTGGAATTTACTTGTAAAATGCTACTTTGTGGATTATTTGAGAAGAAGCTCACTTCCAAAATTACTGTCATATAAATGTATAAAATCACTTATATCAGGATAAGGCCTTTACTTAGAAGACACTATTTCTCACAAATGAAAAATAGAAGTCTATCTCATTTGTTTATTATAGTGTCTGGCAGTCATTAGCTATTAGATGAATGAACAAATAGTGAAAGCAAAGAATGAATGAAAGAAAAATGAATGCAAATGATTATAAATGAAGAAACCTGTTTAATTACAATATATGGTAATTCTTCGAGGTGCTCATATGTCATAGAAATTAATGATACTGTTTCCTATTCCTTTTTTAAAAAGATTTATTTATTTGAGAGGCAGAGTTACAGAGAGAGAGAGAGGTCTTCCATCCTCTGATTCAGTCCCCATGTGGCTGTAATGGCTGGAGCTGGGCTGATCCGAAGTCAGGAGCAGGGAGCTTCTTCTGGGTCTCCCACATGGGTGCAGGGGCCCAAGCACTTGAGCCATCTTTTATTGTTTTCCCAGGCCATAAGCAGAGAACTGGATGGGAAGAAGAGCAGCTGGGACACTAACCAGCTCCCACATGGGATGCCAGCACTGCAGGTGGAGGCTTAACCTATGTCACAGTGCTGTCCTTTCCTATTCATTTTAATGACTAATGAATTCTGAAGCATGATTTAAAACCTGACAAAGTTAGTTTGTGAGTTGTCCCATTTATTTTTCTGCGTTAACACTTTAAGAGCTACTAATAATTAGTGGTAGGGTTAAATAAATTATAGCAGGATGGAGAAATTAATAAGCAGTATAATACATTTTCCATTTAACCATTGGCATGTTAGCAAAAGACTACACCTAAAATAGTAAAGAGTTTAAAATTTTGTTTTACTGAAGGTTAAATGATAAAATATTTGTTCTGTTTTTACAGATCCATCCTTTTGCAATCTTTGGTGTTATTCTTCCATTCAGCACCTTGAACTATGATCCACCTCAAAGGGAAGAATTTTTTGGAACTTGCATGCAACGTCTTAATTCTTATTTAGGTAGGTGTGTTGTTTGGAATGCATTGAATGAGTGTCAGAGGGCACCTGCTGCCACTGAACTAAAAGATGTCCCTTATTTAAAAGTGCAAAATGCTCCCTCTCCCCTCCACCCTTGGCTTGGCATTGGCTTTTAGAGGAGACAGGTTTTTTCCCAAAGTTTTTGTTACCAAGGTTTTCAAATACCCAGAAAAATTGTAATAGTGATATAACAAGCATCTTTACTGAATACCCATAATCAGGGTTGAATAATGATGAACATTTATCACATGTCTGTGTGTGTGTGTCTGTGTGTGTGTACTATCTACTGTTTAGTCAATAATCAAATTTTCCCAGTTGTTACTAAAATGTCTTATGTAACTTTTCTTTAAACAATCAACACTGTTTGTCACTTTATCTTATCTCTTTATTCTTAATATTTTTATAAAATATTTTTTATGAATTTTGTGGATTATACCACAAACCGGATTTGTCTGATTGCCTTCTTTTACCTCGTTTCTCCATCTCCTGTATTTCTAGTAACCTAAAAGTTAAGTGCAGAAGTTTGACTAGATTCATATGAAATATCTTCAGCAAAAATCCATGCATAATTTTTTCATAATATGTATTTTCCTTGAAATTTTTGAAAGCCCCTTATATACATGAATTTCATTTTTTGGCACCAAGATAAACTTATCTTGTAATTCCATTTTCCACAAACTTTTTGAAGTGTTTACATCTAAGGCATATAATCTCTGTTTATTTCTGTCAGTTTTTTTTTAAAGATTTATTTATTTATTTGAAAGAGTTACACAGAGAGAGGCAGAGAGAGAGAGAGAAAGAGAGAAGTCTTCCATCCGCTGGTTCACTCCCCAGTTGACTGCAACGGCCAGAGTTGTGCCTATCTGAAGCCAGGAGCCAGGAGCTTCTTCCAGGTCTCCCACATAGGTGCAGGGACCCAAGGACTTGGGCCATCTTCTACTGCCTTCCCAGGCCATAGCAGAGAACTGGATCAGAAGAGGAGCAGCTGGGATTAGAAATGGCGCCCATATGGGATGCTGGCACTTCAGGCCAGGGTGTTAACCCGCTGCACCACAGTGCTGACCCTATTTCTGTCAATTTTAATAATTTAGTTTTTTAAAGAAATGTATCATAGGGGCTGTGGCAGATATTTATGTATTATCTGAAAGGTTGCTGCTCATTACTGTATCTTTAAAAACTCTTTAAATAGTGTTTCAGTACTGGAAAAAGTAGCATAGGAATAGGCCCTTCCTGCTGTTGGTCTCAGCAGAAGTGGTCTGTGAAAACAGCAGGGGCAGGAAATTACTTTTCCTTTGCATTCTTTATGTTGGGTCCTGAACTGTGCTTGGAACACTTTGACCTTGGAAGAGTGGGGCTTTGTGGAATGTTCTTCTCTGGTTCTCACTGCTGTACCAGTCAGCATGCCTTGGGAATTTCGGAAGTGAAGTACCTGTGTCAGCAGTTGTTGCCTTTCCTGTCAGCAGTCACCTTGTACTTATTGTCAGTACTCTTGGGGGCACATTAGGTACAGAGGGAGTAAAACCATCATTGAGTTTACTTTCTGGCATGTGTGTGTGTTTGGGAGGTCAGGTGGTGTTAAGGACTCTCAAGAATACTAGAGCAGGCTGAGTGTAGGAAGCAGCCTGGTGGGGTGGGGCGGGGTGGAGTGCTGTGCTGTTTTAGATAAGGGCTGCAGCGACTGTGTCTCTCTGGTTTAACCAAGGTCCGAATGAAGTGAGGGAGTGATCCGTGTCTTCAGATGGGGAATAGAGTCCCGTGATGGAGGAAAGCCTGTGCAAAGGGCCCTCGGTGAAAGAATGTTTGGTTTCTTCCAGGAACAGTGGATTGGAGTGTGGCAGGAGTGGAGCGAGGGAGTCTGAGTTAGGAGGCAATGGGTTGAATAGACAGCCAGAGACTAGTTTACTTGGAGTTTTTGCTGTGCTTATAGAGTAAAAATACACAGTCAGTCATCTTCCAAGCACCAGATGCTCACTGAGGGATGCAGGTGTTTTGCCTTGCAGTTGAGATGTCAGCATCCCACATCAGAGGGCCTGAGTTTGATGCCCAGCTCTGTTCCTGATTCCATCTTCCTGCTAATGCAGCCCCTGGGAGGCAGTGGTGTTGGCTCAAGTAATCAGATTCCTTCCACTGTCCTGGGAAACCAGGATTGACCATGTGGGTGCGGGTTTGAGTCCCGGCTGCTCCATTTCCAATCCAGCTCCCTGCTAATGCTCCAGGGAAAGCAACAAAGGATGGCCCAAGTCCTTGGGCCCCTGCACCCACATGGGAGGCCCAAAGAAGCTCCTGGCTCCTGGCTTCGGATCAGCACAGCTCTGGCTGTTACGGCCATTTGGGGAGTGAACCAGAAGATGGAAGACCTCTCTCTCTCTTTCTCTCTCTGGCTTTGGCCCCTGCTGGCGAGCCATTGCAGGCATTTGGGGAGTGAACCATTGGATGGGAGCTCTTTGTTTCTATTCAAGTGTGTTTCTCTGTCTCTTGCCTCTCAAATAAATTAAAGTGAGTGAGAGAGAGAACAGATGCTTACTGAAAGCTTCTACATGCAGCATAAGATGCTGGACACTCTATTACAGTATATTTGCTTAGACCTGTAGACTTCTGGTGAAGCTGGATGAAACCAGTATAAATACATTATTTATATCAGTATCCTGCTAACGGACCTTGCTATATTTTTGTGAGCTTTACTAGACACCAGATAGCAACTAATCATGTCTGATCCTACTGCATCTGCTAATTGACAAATAAAGGAGGATGTGACCTATGCTTGTATATACAGGTATGGCAATATGCATGTGAGCCATCCATTTACACCCCTTTTTCAGTAACACAAAGCTTGATCCTGAGACTTAGAGTGTGCTTTGCTGGTATTTCAGTCACATGGCAGTCAGCCAGCAGAAGGAAATGGAAGCACATGTCTTCCCATAGTCTCCCATAGGCTTAGAAATTAACATATTTATTTTATTTTACTATTTTTTAAAAAATTTATTTATTTGACAGAGTTACAAAGAGATGGAGGGAGATAGAAGGAGACAAAGAGATCTTCCATCTGGTTCATTCCCCAAATGGCTGCAAATGCTGGGCCTGGGCTAGGGCCCGGGCCAAAGCCAGGCCGAAGCCAGGAGCCTGCAACTCCATCCAGGTCTCCTACATGGGTGTAGGGGCCCATATATTTGGGCCATCCCCTGCTGCCTTCCCAGGCGCATTAGCAGGGAGCTGCATTGGAAGTGGAGTGGTGGGGACTTGAACCAGTGCTCACATGGGATGCTGGTGTCACAGGCCACAGCCTAACCCACTGCACCACAGCACCATCCCTGAATTTGGAAGATAGAATGATAAAGGAAGAGGGAAAGAGAGAGGTAGAACTTCTGTCTGCTGGATTACTACCCAAATGTCTGGAACAGCCAAGACTGGACCAGGTTAAAGTCCAGAGCCAGAAACTCAATCCTGGTCTCCCACATAGATGTCAGGAATCCAAGTACTTGGGCCATCATCTGCTGCCTCCAGATGCACTGGCAGGAAGCTAGATTGGCAGTGGAGCAGCTGGGACTCACACCTACACTCTGATATGAGAAGCAGGTTTCCCAGACAGCAGCTTCACTCACTGTGCCATAATATCTGCCCCCTAGATTTTTTTTTTTTTCAACTAAAGCCTAAAAGAGAAGGACAATTGAGGAGTACAACTGTTGAGTTTTTAGGACTTAATGAGAGAATGAAGAGTCCTTAAAGAACTTTGTAAGTAAAAATTTAAATAATGGAATAAAAATTTTGTTTTGAAGAAAGATTCATTTTGGAAAGTCAGTTTTGCTGATGGAGACCATCACTGTTAGCCTCATTTATGATTTGGTCTTGCTTTGTTAAATAAACTCAGCGAACACTCCAAAAGGCAAGATTTAATGTTGTCTTTTCTATCCTATGTAAGAATACTGATGCTAAGGGCCAGTGCTGTGGTACAGAGGGTTAAAGCCCCAGCCTGCAGCACCAGCATTGTGTATGGGTGCGTGTTTGAGTCCCAGCTACTCCACTTCTGATCCAGCTCTCTGCTATGGCCTGGGAAAGCAGCAGAGGATGGCCCAAGTCCTTGGGCCCCTGGAGGCCCAAAAGAAGCCCCTGGCTCCTGGCTTTGGATCAGCACAGTTCCGGCTGTTGCAGCCATTTGGGGAATGAACCAGCAGATGAAGACCTCTCTCTCTCTGTCTCTACCTCTCTCTCTGTAACTCTTTCAATAAATAGAATAGGCCGGTGTCGTGGCTCACTTGGCTAATCCTCTGTCTGCAGCGCCGACACCCTGGGTTCTAGTCCCTGTTGGGGCACCGGATTTTGTCCCGGTTGCTCCTCTTCTAGTCCAGCTCTTTGCTGTGGCCCAGGAGTGCAGTGGAGGATGGCCCAAAAAAGAGAGATTTTTTTTTTTTTTGACAGGCAGAGTTAGACAGCAAGAGAGAGACAGAGAGAAAGGTCTTCCTTTTCCATTGGTTCACCCCCCAAGTGGCCGCTATGGCCCGCTGCATTGTGGCAGGCATGACGTGCCCATCCGAAGCCAGGAGCCAGGTGCTTCCTCCTGATCTCCCATGCAGGTGCAGGGCCCAAGCACTTGGGCCATCCTCCACTGCATTCCCGGTCCACAGCAGAGAGCTGGACTGGAAGAGGACTAGAACCGGTGCCCCGACTGGGACTAGAACCCAGGGTGCCGGTGCCGCAGGAGGAGGATTAGCCTAGTGAGCTGCGGTGCTGGCCAATCTCTTTTTTAAAAAAGGAATTTATTTAAAAAACAAAAAGATACTGATGCTAAGAGGGCATTTTAAGTGACTCTTTCCCCCGCATCAGAAGTGTCTCTGGGATGAGACTAATCAGGTAAGTGACCTCCAACCTTAAATTCTGGAGCATCTGCCATGCTGCTGGGTGACAGGTAAAGGGGAGATGCTGGGTGAGACTGGAGCCTGAAATGTGTGTGCACCCCATCTGGAAACCCGAGGTCCCCAGAAAGCAGCGTGAGGTAGCAGTCCAGGTCTCAGAGCTGGGCCTTCTGGGTGAGACTCACTAACTCTACATCCTTCAGCCAGTCTCTCTATATGCCCATTTCTAATGCAGAGATCCTGATGGTTCCTACATGCACAAGAAGTTTTATCTGCATTAACACATCTAAAGTGTTTAGAATGGTCCCTAACACCTTCTGAATGCTATTACATTATTGTCAGCGATATGTAGATTGGTATCATTCTCCTTTTTATATATGCTATGATCCTTTTGTATTATTTCTCTTTTCAAGGCAGTTTTAAAAACTTTTTATTGAGGCATAAAAGTGACAATATAAAAGTGTGACTTTATGCAGATTGGCTCCCCCCGAGCATGAGAAACAGCGTATTATCACAGGGTTGTTCTCGCATCCCCCGTTCCTACTCTCCTCCACCCAAAGCTGACTCCCTGTCCTGACTTGTGTAGATTAGTTTTGTTAATCTTGTGTTTATATCATTTTTTAGAGGCTGCCTTTACCCAAATAAAGTATATGTTTATTTGTGAGGTGACTGTACATTAAATTTTTTTAAATTTTTATTTTAATATTTTTATTTTAGGTATATTGGATCCTCTTGTGTTAGTGTTTCTTGGTTTCTCTTTGGCCACAGTTGAATATTTTCCAGAAGATCTGCTAAAGGCAATTTTTAACATCAAATTCTTAGCCAGATTAGATTCTCAACTTGAGAGTATGTATCTACATTTTAATTTATTAAATTATCACTTGTGCTTTGTATCCAAGTTTTACCTGTTTCTATACTGAAGCATTTAAATATTGATAACTTTTCTCTTTATTGAAATAGTTCATGATTATTATACGAAATTTGAAAAACACATAAAAGTAAAAAATAGAAAATTGCCCATAATCTTACCACTACTTTTAATGTTTTAGAATATTTTCTGCCTTTTTCTTGTTCATATATGTATGTATATATGTCTAAAAGTTTATTAAAACAAAATTTGGTTTATTTGTATATTCACTTTTCTATGTTGTCTTTTTTCATGTAAATATATTTTGAACAGTTTTCCATGTCACTGAATATTTTTTTGATGTCATGATTTTTTATTGGCTACATAATATGCCATTATATAGATTAAGTAAAATTTGTTTATCCTATAGCTTGTTTCCAGTTCTTGTTATCATAAACAATGAGCTGTTAGACATGAATCTTTGATTGTTTCCTGAGGATTGGTAAATGTCAAATATTAGGTCAATGAAAGTTCTTGGTTTTTGTTTTTAAATGGAAATTACAACATTCACAATTAATGAAAACAATGTTGGAGTTGGTCCTAATCATGCGACTGAATGTCGTAATTTAAAAATAGAACACATTTATATGCAAATGAAGTGATTTTTATAATATGAGAATAAAAGTAGTGACCAATAGTCGTGATAAGTGAATATGGAAAAATGGGTTGTTTTGGTTGGTCTAAGCTATCAAAATCTATGTGGATTTTTTTTTTATTTCAGTTTTACCTTCATCTCTGAGTACAAGGATCCAGTTTCGTCTTATGGAGTTAAACAGAGCAGTCTGCTTGGAATGCCCTGAGTTTCAGATTCCGTGGTTTCATGACCATTTCTGCCAACAACACTATAATAGAGGTTTGAGTTTTCTTTTAGTTGGATACTGATGTTTAATTCTAAAGCAAATTATCAGGTAGTACATTGGTAAACCTAAACATGATTTGCAAGTTCCCAAGAGTTCCATGATCTGTTTAATTTCAGATGAGATTTGTATTACAAGAATTTCTTAATATTTAGGACACAAAGCCTCTTGATTGAGAGCAAAGAGCATGTCTTGAATTTAGTGTTATTATATATGGCATTACATTGGAGTGCATACTGGAAATACTATTTTCCCAGTTTATAGAATTTGGATGATTTTCATTCAAAAACTGATGAACCTAAATGGCCTAATCATTTTTCTTTTCATTAAGATATTGGCAGTGTGGATGGAGCACAACAACAGATTTATAAACTATTAGCAGAGGTCCTGGGTGGGATCAACTATGTAAAAGCCTCAGTTCTTACTTCATACTACCATACAGTAGGTAAGTAGTTGGTTGGTTGGTTGGTAGCTACTTTCTGAAGGCCAGGCTAATTTGAATAGAATCATCAGCTAGAATTTTAAAAAGAAAAACTTTGGAATTTTTTAAAGTCATCATTAAAATTTCCAAACAGACAAAAGTAGAAAGAACAATACAGTGAATCCTCAAATTCTTATGGCCCAGCTTTGAAAACCATCAGCATTTTGCTGTTTTCCAGGGAAAAAAAAATTAAAACCATTCTTTGATTAATTCTAAGACCTAGATTCAGATTCACTAAAAATTTCTGGATCTTTAAGACCTTTTGTCCACTCTACTCAGTGTGCTAAAGCCAGAGAAATGACTTCTTATTTCAATTTCATTATTTTAAATTTATCTAAAAAACTAAGTTGGGTTTTCAACTTGGATGAAGATTTCCAAAGGTATCACGCTTGTCCCTAACCTGCTTACCTTCTTTCTCAGGTGGACTAGATGTAGAAAGCATTCTGACCTAATTGTGGATGACATAAAGCTGGTGGGCTAGCTGATGCTGGGTGGCAATATTGTGTAACAGTCGGAAAGAAGGCCAGCACCACGGCTCAATAGGTTAATCCTCCACCTGCGGCGCCGGCACACCGGGTTCTGTCGGGGCACCGGATTCTGTCCCGGTTACCCCTCTTCCAGGCCAGCTCTCTGCTATGGCCCGGGAAGGCAGTGGAGGATGGCCCAAGTGCTTGGGCCCTGCACCCGCATGGGAGACCAGGAGAAGCACCTGGCTCCTGGCTTCGGATCAGCGCGATGTGCCGCCTGCAGCGCGCCAGACGTGGTGGCCATTGGAGGGTGAACCAACGGCAAAGGAAGACCTTTCTCTCTGTCTCTCTCTCTCTCACTGTCCACTCTGCTTGTCAAAAAAAAAAAAAAAAAAGAGTCGGAAAGAGAAGCTGGTGCTGTGGTTAGTGGGTAAGGCTGCTGCCTATGACACCGGCATTCATTATGGGCACTGGTCCTGCTCTACTTCTGACCCAGCTCCCTGCTAATGTGCCTGGGAAAGCAGTGGAATATGGCCTGAGTCCTTGGGCCCCCGTACCCATGTGGGTGACCAGAAGTTCTGGGCTTCTTGTTTCAGCCTGGCCGAGCCCTGGCTGTTGTGGCCATTTGGGGAGGGAACCAGTAGATGGAAGACTTTTCTCTCTGTCTTCCCCTCTCTCTGTGTAACTCTGCCTTTCAAATAAATAAATAAATCTATTTTTAAAAACAAAGTTAAAAAGATATTACTAAATTTAAGCAGTGCCTGTAAATGAAAAAGATGAAATTCTAAGAGGATCAACATAAACTTTATAAATTGAGGTTAAAAAAATATTTGTATACATACAGGATATTTTAAGGGATTATAAATTAATGTAAGTGGTTACTAAAAATTAAATACTATTTAAAACTATGGTATTAAAAAGTTGGTAGTCCCAGTGTTTGTTGTCCTTCACACACATCTTAGTATTACGTACTTTTTTTTTTTTTGGCATATTGCCATTCATGAGAGACAGTGACAGATGGGGTTGAGAAATAAAGGAGGATAGAGGGAGAGAGATCTGGAAATTATGGCTTAGAAACTACTAGACAGGACCAGGACTTAATGGATTGCAACCTGTGAGCAAGTGCTTCTGAATGTACTAGTTTTTTCATCTATAAAATGGGAATTGTTAGGCCTTGTCTACCCCCAGGAATGAGACAGAAAGGAGATGGAATCAACCTCAACAGAGACAGGTTAAGGAGGGAATTTGCCTCTATGGGGTGTTGGGGGGCAGGTAGGGTGGAGGGGAGGTAGAAGGCGCTGGCAGAAGAGTAGGGGGCTCTTTGAAGCTTCCCTCTTACCTGTTTCACAAGATGCCCTGTGCAGTTTATCTGCTTTGCCATTTGCTTTGCAAGGAGTCCAAAAGGGTCTGGTTAGGCAACAAGGGTCTTTTTTTTTTTTTTTAAAGATTTATTTTATTTATTTGAAAGACAGAGTTACAGAGAGAGACAGAGACAGACAGAGAGGTCTTCCATCCACTGGTTCACTTCCCTAATGCCCGCAATGGCCAGAGCTGCACTGATCCGAAGCCAGGAGCCAGGAGCTTCTTCCGGGTCTTCCACGTGGGTGTAGGGGCCCAAGATCTTGGGCCATCTTCTACTGATTTCCCAGGCCATAGCAGAGAGCTGGATCAGAAGAGGAGGAGCCGGGAATAGAACCGGCGCCCATATGGGATGCTGGCGCTTCAGGCCAGGGCGTTAACCAGCTGCACCAGCCCCAACAAGGGTCTTAACAAAAGGAGGAAATGGGGTGGGGAGGAGGAAAGGAAGGAGGAAAAAGGTGCAGTGCATCCTTTAGGAATAATAACAGCTGCTTCCCAGGATTACTTGGGAGTGCATGCTAAGCATTTAGCATTACCCTTGGAACAATGCTAGGTAGTGGCACAGTGGGGTAAGCCAATACATGCAATGCTGGCATCCCACATGAGTGGCAGTTGGAGTCCTAGCTGCTCTACTTTTGACCCAGCTCCCTGCAAATGTGCCTGGGGAAGCAGTGATGATGGCCCAAGGACTTGGGCTCCTACCACCTATGTGAGAGACATAGATGGAGTTCCAGGCTTCTGGCCTAGTTCTAGTTGTTGCTGGAATTTAGGGAGTGAACCAGCGGATGGAAGCTCTCTCTCTTTCTCTCTCTCTCTGCCTTTAAATACATAAGTGAATCTTTAAAGAAAATTTTGTTATGAAATGCATGACCTTTGTATTCCTTAAATAAAAGGTTTCTTTGGGAAAAAAATAAAGAAAATTTTATTTGAAAATAAAAAAGCAGATGTTTAGCCTGAAAAATATAAGTCTTAAAGGGGAGCATAACTTTTGAATGCTTAAAGGATTATAATGTGGAAGACTTAGGTAATTCTCAGTGCTTAAAAAAAAAGGGTAAAAATTAAAGGTCACAGATTTTAACTCAGCATAGCATGGGCTGCTTTGTGAAGAAATAATGTTGAAGCAGAGGCTGGATGATCAGGTTATGAATATTTCATTACTAGGCAGGAGGCTGAGCCACATAATCATTAATACTCTCATCGATCACTGCAGAGTACACACTTTCCTTCTTTGGTTTTATATTAATTGCCTATGAATCCTGCCTATAGCAGGATTAAATTAAAAGTTCATTTCCTTCTTCCAGGGCTGACAGGCCAGTTCTGTTCTTTTCTTTTCTTTTTTTGTTTTTAGAAAGCTTTTATTTAATAAATATAAATTTCATAGGTACAGCTTTTGGAATCTAGCAGTTCTTCCCCCAATACCTGCCCTCCCACTCTTGTTCCTGTCCCACCTCCTATTCCCTCTCCTATCCCATTCTTCATTAAGATTCATTTTTTATTATCTTTATATACAGAAGACTATCTCTATACTAAGTAAAGATTTCAACTGTTTGCACCCACACAGAAACACAAAGTATAAAGTACTGTTTGAAGACAGGTTTTAACATTAATTCCCATAGTACAACTCATTAAAAACAGAGGTCCTACATGTGGAGCAAATGCACAGTGACTCCTGTTGTTGATTTAACAATTGACACTCTTATTTATGACGTAAGTAATCACTCCAGGCTCTTGTCATGAGCTGTCAAGGCTATGGAAGCCTTTTGAGTCCAGAAACCCTGTCATTATTTAGACAGGGCCATAATCAAAGTGGAAGTTCTCGCCTCCCTTGAGAGAAAGGTACCTCCTTCTTTGTTGGTCCCTTCTTTCCACTGGGACCTCACTCACAGAGATTTTCATGTAGGCCATTTTTTGCCACAGTGTCTTGGCTTTCCATGCCTGAAATGCTCTCATGGGCTTTTTAGCCAGATCCGAATGCCTTAAGGGCTGATTCTGAGGCCAGAGTGCTGTTTAGGGTGTTTGTCATTCTTTGAGTATGCCGTGTGGACAGGCCAGTTGTACAAACAGTAAAGATCCAGAGTCCTTCTATTTTATTACCATCTGACATCCTCAATATGTGGCTTCCATGTCGATGGCCCAGATGGCTGCCCCAGGTCTACCTAGGATGCAAGCAGAAGAGGAGGGGAGGTAGGAGAACTGCTGCCTTTGAATTATGCCCTGCACCACCATTAGCAGCCCGTGAGGTTTTTAAACATGGTTTTTATTCTGAGTGGCCACATATCCAGCTAAGATTTAGGGAGTCTGACCATTAAAACAGAAGTGAAAAATAGATTCTGGGGGACAACTTTCAGTCTGGCAGTCAGTTGTTTTAAAAGATACACTCCCTGTTTATTGTAAAAGTAATGATCACAGAAGGAACAGACTAAGATACAAATGTGAGAATGTTCTATAATCCCGTGTCACAGAGGGTTTTAAAACAGTTTACAATGATGTCAACATTTATGACAGACATTGTAGGTGGCTCTTTATTCCTACTATTATGTTCTGTTTTGTTAATGTTTCTTTTAATCAAGAAATAATATACAATAATATTTAATATAGAATATACAATAATATATAATAATATATTCCAGTATAGAACATTTGGAAAATATGGAGAAGAGAAAAATCATGCCTGATAACCTGTCCCAAAGTCACACATGTAATTAGTACTGAAACTAGGATGATTGTACCTCGATTGCATTTCCTATTCATATTTATTATTCCCATTGTCAAGGCTTGTTTTTATGTTAAAATGTATATAAATCATTTAAAATAAAATTTAATTAAGCAATATTTGACTAAATATGGTATGATTAAGACTGTGTACTCATAACATAATTGAGAACTATGAATCATAGGTCTTGCTTAAGGTTTAAAAATAAGGACTGTAAAAAAAGTCACATGATACATGCTTAGAATAGGTTAGCTGGAAAGGGCAAATAATCAAAAAGAAAAATCACTCCTGATATAGCCTCTGTTTGGTGTATGTTTTCTATTTCTAGCTGACTTTTCTAAAAACCAAAGGTGACTTATTCTGTAATCTTTGTAACTCTATTCATATTTTGTACATATTTTTTGATGCCAACAGATATTGCAACATTTTTAGTGACTGCATGATGTTTCATTGAATGAGAATGCTATGAGTTAACCAATCTGTAGGGTTTTGGTTAGTATGTGCATCTGTCAAACAATGCTGCAATTTTATGTAAAAATAATATTGTATACACTGAAAAGCCAGGAGCCAGCAACTCCATTCAAGTCTCCCACATGGGTGGAAGGGACTGAAGTACTTGAGCCATCACCTACTGTCTCCCAAGGTGTTCATTAGCAGGAACTTGGAGTTGGGAGCAGAGGTGGGACTTGGTCCAGGCATCTGATATGGGATAGATGTGTCCCAAGTGGCATCTGCACCATATGCCTGCTCCCTCAGTTATCTGTGTTTTATTATGCAGTTTATTTGTACAAACTGGGATCTGAAGTGGGTGTTGTGGTGCAGCAGATTAAACTGCTACTTAAGACTCCTGCATCCCATATCAGAGAGCTAGTTTGAGTGCTGGGTGCTCTACTTCCCATCCAGCTTCCTGCTAATGTGTCAAGGAGGCAGTAGATGATGGCCCAAGTGCTTGAGTACCTGTCATATCTCTCTCTCCCTTTTTTCTTTTTTTTCTTTTTTCTTTTCTTTTTTTTTTACAGGCAGAGTGGACAGTGAGAGAGAGAGACAGAGAGAAAGGTCTTCCTTTGCCGTTGGTTCACCCTCCAATGGCCGCCGCGGCCGGCGCGCTGCGGCCGGCGCACCGCACTGATCCGATGGCAGGAGCCAGGAGCCAGGTCTTTTCCTGGTCTCCCATGGGGTGCAGGGCCCAAGCACCTGGGCCATCCTCCACTACACTCCCTGGCCACAGCAGAGAGCTGGTCTGGAAGAGGGGCAACCGGGACAGAATCCGGCGCCCCGACCGGGACTAGAACCCGGTGTGCCGGCGCCGCTAGGCGGAGGATTAGCCTAGTGAGCTGCGGCGCCGGCCTTCTCCCTTTTTCTATCTCTTCCTCTCCTCACGTCTTTCTGTCAATCTGCCTTTCAGATAAATAAAACTAAATCTTTTTAAAAAATCCTACAAATTGGGGCTGGTGCCGTGGCTCACTTGGTTATTCCTCCCCCTGCGGCCCCAGCATCCCATATGGGCACCGGGTTCTAGTCCTGGGTGCTCCTCTTCCAGTCCAGCTCTCTGCTGTGGCCCGGGAGTGCAGTGGAGGATGGCTCAAGTGCTTGGGCCCCTGCACCCGCATGGGAGACCAGGAAGAAGCACCTGGCTCCTGGCTTCGGATTGGTGTAGTGCTGGCTGTAGCGGCCATTTGGGGGATGAACCAAACGGAAGGAAGACCTTTCTCTCTGTCTCTCTCTCTCTCTCTCTCACTGTCTATAACTCTACCTGTCAAATTAAAAAAAAAAATCCTACAAATTGTGATTAGGTTGATTTATAAGTTCTACTTTTTTCTCTCTCTCTCTTTTTTTTTTTTTTTTTTTTTTTTTTGACAGGCAGAGTGGACAGTGAGAGAGAGAGACAGAGAGAAAGGTCTTCCTTTGCCGTTGGTTCACCCTCCAATGGCCGCTGCTGCAGCCGGTGCACCGCGCTGATCCGATGGCAGGAGCCAGGATCCAGGTGCTTTTCCTGGTCTCCCATGGGGTGCAGGGCCCAAGCACCTGGGCCATCCTCCACTGCACTCCCTGGCCATAGCAGAGAGCTGGCCTGGAAGAGGGGCAACCGGGACAGAATCCGGCGCCCCAACCGGGACTAGAACCCGGTGTGCCGGCGCCGCAAGGTGGAGGATTAGCCTATTGAGCCACGGCGCCGGCTTCTCTTATTTTGTTAATTGAGAAAAACACTCTGTACATATTCTAGGCTTTTCTAATTTCAACCCCGTTGTGTCATTTTAACATGTTTCTGTTTCCTTTATGTTGCCTGTAATCTAATATGAAGGACTAGGGGCTTGATTGGATTTTAGGTTGGATTTTTTTAAAAAAGAGATTTATTTGTTTATTTGTAAGGCAGAGTGAGAGACAGAGGAAGAGAGATCTTCTATCCATTGGTTCACTTCAAAAATGGCCGCAATGACTGGGGCTGAATCAGGCTAAAGTTGGGAGCTTGATACTTCATCTAGGTCTCCCACATGGGTGGTGGGGACCCAAGAACTGGGCCATTATACTCTGCCTTCCCAGGAAGCTGGATCAGAAGTAGAACAGTCAGGACTCAAACCAACACTACAGTATGAGATGTGGGCATCCCACATGGCAGCTTAACCCACTGTGCCACAAAGGCAGTCTATAAATTGTTTTTTCTTTGCCAGATAGCTTCATAGGTGGTGTATACTTCTTACTGATGCAGACAATGGTTGTGTGCTTCTTTTTATTTATTATATTATCCTTTAGAAAGTTCCACCACCACACCCCAATAGGGAGCCCAGGGTGGAGCTCTTTTTTTTTTTTTTTTTTACAGGCAGAGTTAGACAGTGAGAGAGAGAGGCAGAGAGGAAGGTCTTCCTTCTGTTGGTTCACCCCCACCAATGGCCGCTATGGCCAGTGTGCTGCGCCGATCCAAAGCCAGAAGCCAGGTGCTTCCTCCTGGTCTCCCATTCGGGTGCAGGGGTCCAAGCACTTGGGCCATCCTCCACTGCCCTCCCGAGCCACAGCAGAGAGCTGGACTGAAAGAGGAGCAGCCGGGACAGAATCCAGCGCCCCAACTGGGACTGGAACCCAGGGTGCCGGCGCCGCAGGCGGAGGATTAGCCTAGTGAGCCACGGTGCCGGCCGACCCAATAGCTTTTTACCTACTGATTTTGTCAGCCATCAGTGATCACTCATTACTTAAACCCATCATTTGTTAAGGGTAGAAAAACAGCAATTGTATAATGCTTGATATTCATTTTCAGAAGAATTGTGTTAGCTCCTTTCAAATGTGACCAGATACTTAAGGAGATTAGAATAAAAGTCTTTAATGTGACTTGACCTAACCAGTACTAAATGTAGCCCAGTGCTAAATTTATTTTAGTAATACTTGCTGATAGATTTTTATTGATTGTTTTTCAAAGAGAGTGTCATTGGAGCAGATCTTATAAAATAAGTTGGATAATTAGGGAGATTCATTATAGTTTCATGTGTATGTATATGCATATACTCGTATACCTAGATATGTCTTAAATTTTTACCTGTAAGAATATACCTGATTAATACTGTTGATTCCTACCTATTTCCCTTAAGATTTTGAATGTATCTTGGATAAAAGGAAAAAACCTCTTCCTTATGTGAGCCATAATACAACTTTGGGAAAACTACCAGAAATGTCCTGGGAATCAAATACCCAAATAGTTGGATCAAGGCTGCCACCAGGAGCTGAAAGGTAATTTATTTCTTAGTTTAAGATTGTATCCAAATGTTAAATTTGGCCTAATAAAATGAACTTGGCTCTCAAGGACTCACTTTAGAAGAGTCTGCTGCTATCCCTATGCCATCTATCTTTGTACCTTTGCTCTGCTGGGCCTTCTGCCCGAATGTCCTTCCCTCACCTAGCCAAAGAGTCTCTCCAAAGTGCTGCCTGGTCGTCCTTTATTGCAAGTAAATAGCATCTTCTTTTATACTCCTAGACATCTCTACTTTTCTGATAGCCCTTAGCCACCTTCTGCACTGCATTAGATTACTTACAATACATCATGTGTTCTCAGATAGATTATAACTCTATGTTGCTTTATTTCAGAGCACCTCCCTTATATGTAGTCAGTGTGTAATGAAAGAAACAAATGGATGAGAGTAGGGAGATATTTATTGTAACTTTTAAAAGTTTTCATTTTAATTACTATAATTTTCTTTAAATGAATACCTTTCTCATCAGTTATTAATTTTTTAAGTAAAAAAATAATCTGGGGGAAGCAGTGCTGTGGCATAGCGGTAAAGCCGCCACCTGCAGTGCTGGCATCCCATATGGGTGCCGGTTTGAGTCTCGGCTGTTCCACTACCTACTGATCCAGCTCTCTGCTATGGCCTGGTAGAAGACAGCCCAAGTCCTTGGGCCCCTGCACCCACGTGGGAGACACTGAAGAAGCTCCTGGCTCCTGGTTTCGGATCAGTGCAACTCCAGCAGTTGCGGCTATTTGGGGAGTGAAACAGCAGATGAAAGACCTCTCTCTCTGTCTCTCTTTCTCTCTCTCTGCCTCTGCCTGTCTGTAACTCTGCCTTTCAATCAATCAATAAATCTTTAAAAAAAAAAAGCCTGGGGACCCGGTGGTTAGGATGCCCACCTCTCACATTGGAGTACCTAGGTTTTGTTCCCAGCTCCAGCTCCTGAGTCCTGCTTCCTGCTAGTGCAGACCCTGGGAGGCAGCAGTGATGGCTCAAGTAATTGGGTTCCTGCAACTCACATGGGAGACCTGGACTGAGTTTCCAGCTCCTGGCTTGGGATCCAGCCTGGCCTAAGGTTGTGGGTGTTTGGGGACTGAACCATCAGATGGGAAGATGGGAATGTGCCTCTCTTCTTCTTTTTCTCTCAAATAAATAAATTTCTATCTCTCAAATAAATTTACAAAAGGAAGAAAGAAAAATAACTTGGTATACTCATTTATATTCGTTTGGCTTTTGTTAGTTTATAAAGATGCATTGTTGTTCCTGAAAGGCTTGTAGTTATTCAGTGTCACATTTTGATTTCAGAAGTAAATATTTATTTTTTATTTTTTGCAGGATTGCTTTGGAATTTTTGGATTCAAAAGCTTTCTGTACAAACATCCCTCACTTAAAAGGAAAATCTGCTATGAAAAAACGACACTTAGAAATCTTGGGTTATCGTGTAGTTCAGGTATGCAATACATGTACTTCAGCAGAGACACTGACTGTACATATATTTGCTTTTATTATGAAAGTTCCAGAATTACCTTTATGATATAAAAAAAAGGTAAGGAATCTCTAAAACTGAGGATTTATTTATAGATTAACAAATAAAGGAGGGGCCAGTGCTGTGGTGTAGCATCTCATATGTGCTGGCATCTCATATGGGTGCCAGTTTGAGTCCTGGCTATTCCACTTCTAATCCAGCTCTCAGTATAGCCTGGGAAAGCAGTAGAAGATGGCCCAAGTCCTTGGGCCTCTGTGCCCAAGTGGGAGACCTGAAAGAAGCTCCTGGATCCTGGCTTTGGATCGGCTCTGCTCCAGCCATTGCTGCCATCTGAGGAGTGAACCAGCAGATGAAAGACCTCTCTCTTTCTCTCTCTCTGCCTCTGCCTTTCTCTAACTCTGCCTTTCAAATAAATTAAAAAAAGAAATAAAGGGGACAAGCCTTTGGCCTACCAGTTAAGACACCGCTTGGAATACTCTCATCTCACACCAGATTGCCTGGGGTCGAGTTCCAGTTCCTCTCTTGATTCCTGCTAATGCACACCCTAGGAGCAGCAGCTGATGGCTTAGGTAGCTGAGTTCCTTCCACCCACATGGAAGTCCTGCATTGAGTTCCCAGCTCCCAGCTTCAGCCTCCAGCCCAGGGTCATTGCAGGCATTTGGGGAGTAAACCAATGGATGCAAGCTCTGTCTGTCTCTTTCTTTGTCCCTCATATAAACAAACATTTATATATATATAAAGAAAAAAAAACTCATTTCTTTTATTGTCTTTAAAAGGTTCATTGATTTGTATATTTATCTTTTTTTTTTAAAGACTGATTTATTTATTTGAAAGGCAGAATTACAGAGAGGCAGAGGCCGAGAGAGAGGTTTTCCATCCACTGGTTCACTCCCCAAATGGCTGCAATGGCTAAAGCTGTGCTGATCCAAAGCCAACAGACTGGAGCTTCTTTCAGGCCCCCCATGTGGATGCAGGAGCCCAAGCACTTGGGCCATCTCCCACTCTTTCCCAGGACATTAGCAAGGAGCTGGATTGGAAATGGAGCAGCCAGGACTTAAACTGGCACCCATAGGGGATGTAGGTTCTGCAGGCAGCAGCTTTACCAGCTACGCCACAACACCAGCCCCTTGTATATTTATCTTACAAAGGAGAGAAGGACTATGGATATGGACAGAGTTATAAGAGAACAAGTATGTAGGAAAAAAATGTCCATTGTTGGTATTGTGGGGATGGGAAGATGAAGGGAGCTTCGAGGCAGGAAAAGGTCTTCTAGGCAGTGTTGGGAAGATGGACCCACCTGACTTCCAAAAGGGACTCAAAGGCTATACTCACATCAACTAATTTAATAGGATCCTACAGCATTGTTCAGTAGGGCTGATAAGTCTTCCTTGATGTCTTTTGTAGTTGTTTTTAAAGTTTTTATTCACGGGATGAGCATTCTAGTGCAGCACATTAAGCCACTGCTTGCAACTCTGACATTCCATATTGGAGGGCCAGTCTGAGTGCCAGTTACTCTGCTTTCAATCCAGCTCCCTGCTAATGTGCCTGGGATGGCAATGGAAGGCCCAAGTGCTTGGGCCTCTGCCACCCATGTGGGAGACCTGGATAGAGTTCCTGGCTCTTGGCTTCTGCCTGGTCCAGCCCTGTTGCATCCATTTGGGAAGTGAACCAGCAGATGAAAGGTCTCTCCGTCTCTCCCCTTCTCTGTTGCTCTACCACTCAACTAAATTAATTAATACATTTTATAAAAACTTTCATTCATACTACATTATTTACTTTACAGATCCCTCATTTTGAATGGAACTCTATGGCACTGTCAACCAAGGATGCTCGGATGGACTACCTGAGAGAACATATATTTGGAGAAGGCAAATCATGACTGTAGTTTTATTTAAGATGAGTTAGCATGGTGTGTCACATCTGTAACTATTTTAATTAAGTTACCTGACTCAATTAAAAAATTCTGAGGTAGGACATGTCTGGTGTATTTTAAAATAACAAGGAATCCATTGTGGCTACAGCAGAATAAGTGAGGTGGGAGTATAAGAGAAAAGGCAAGAAGTAACAAGGACAGATATATACAACCTCTTGGGAGATAAGAAGCCCTTGGAGGGTTTCCAGCAAGGACTAACAGGAGCTCACATTTTAAATACATCACTTTGGCTGCCCTATTAAGAGGAGGAAAGACTATGGTGGGGTAAATGTAAAAGTAGGGAAACTTACAAGATCATTGCAATAATCCAGACAAGAAATGGATGGTGGCTTGGAGAGAGTAGCAAAAGTAGAGGTGGTGAGAGGTGGTCAGGTTTTTGGGGATATTTTGTAGGTAAAGGCAACAGAACTTGCTCACTGACTGCATATGAATTACGAGAGAAATAGGAGTCAAGGATAATTCTGAGTTTTTATCCTAAGCATCTAAAAGGGTTTAATTGCCAATAACTGAGACAGAAAAGTATTTGGGAGAACAAGATGGGCCTTGGGGTACAGGGGAAGGATTGTGTGTTTGTTTTAGACATGTTGGATTTGTGATGCCTTTTAAATAGCTAAGTGACAACAGAGAATTAAATAAATTAATAAATTAAATACAGAATTGAATAAATCAGGTTTTGGCAGTCAGGAGAGGCATCTAGGCTCCAGATATAAATGTGAAAGTTGTCAGTGGTATTTAATGCCATAAGACTAGATGCGGTTACTAAAGATGTGATCAGAGAAGAGTGGGAATGCAGGGGAAGTAGGAGGACTGAGCTACAGGGCATTCCAACATTAAGACATGAAGAAGAACAGCCAGCAAAGGAGACATGGGCAGAGGTGGCGGAAGAGTCACTGAAGGCAGTGAATACTTTCTAGAAGCCAAGTGGAGAAAGCATTTCAATGAGAGGAGGTGAATAGTTATATCAGATGTGCTGATGGGTAAGATAGGAACTGGGAAATGTCATTTAGCTACATGAAGATCATTGGTAACATTGAAAACAAAGTTGTGTTGGTCAAGTGGGGTTGTGAAAGCCTGATTGATCCAAGAGAAAGTGGGAGGAGATGTGAATTTTCTTCTAAATGAAACCAAAGAAATGGGTGGTAGCCGAGTGAGGCAATTGTGATCTGATCTGATCCCACACATGCTGAGGATATAAGAATTTTTCTGTATGAAAACATTCCAAGATGGCAGAATAGGGAGGGATCTTTCTGCTTTAGTCTAAGGGAAGATAGTTTAAAACAAACAAACAAACAAAACAAAACAAGTGGACAGAGTACAATCTCAGGAAAGAGAGAAAATTGCAGAGGAAACTTCATGCAAATTAGAGGGACACTGCGGATCTACATAGAGGGTGTAGATGTGCACAACTCGGGACCCAAGCAGCTGAGAGCCTCAACATCAGCTTTGGAGAGTGAGGTGAGACCAGACTGGAACAATCCAAGCCACTGACAATAAAGTTGCAGGAAGAGCCTGGCATTGTCAGTCCAGCTTGGAGCCCTATGGGGGACGGTGTACCTGCCAACCAAGAGGACAAAAAAGGAGGCACATTTCCCTCTTCCTGATCACCTGGCACCACCATCCTGTAACTAGCCAAAAGAGGGTGGGTGCCATTTTGGATATATGTAACAGCCTGAATCTGGCTAGGAGAATTGACAGGAGGTTGGATGCTCATGACCGTGGGAGTCTTGTGTGCTGGGGCTGTGAAAACACTGTGGCTGTGTGGGAAGGTGCAGGGTGTGGCTGGATCTTTGGGCAGTCATTGTGGGTGGCTCCACATGCTCAGGGCTCCCTGATTCCCTGGTGAGGGTCACTGCTGTAGGATCTGTGTCACACTGAGGACTGTGAGGATACTTTGGGTGGTTCTTGTGGCAGCATGGAAAATATTATACCCACTGGGGTTAGTGCCCAGGCATTGGTCTCCTTGAAGGAGATGAGGTGAGTGTGAGACTGTGCCAACAGAGCCGATCAAACTTCCCTCTGATTAATAAAAAGAGAGAGAGATTTACCATGCCCAATTTGGGTGTCACCTTAGGCACTCCCCTCACCCTGGAGCACTGAACAGAGCTCCCTGGCTATACCCAGCACACATCTCTAGGTATTCACTGAAAGATCAGACACTCCACTAAGCCACAAAGGCATAGTCCAAAGATAAAAGCCATCACAGGGGAAAGAAGAAAAAAAAAAAAAACCAACAAGTATCTCCACAAATTCCTAAAAATAAATGCAGCAATTCAAGAAACAAGAATAAGGAAGACAACATGATGCTCCCAAAGGAACACAACAACACTAGAATGCAAACTAGAATGCAAAGATGAAGAGATTGGGGCCAGCACTGTGGCGCAGTGGGTTAATGCCCTGGCCTGAAGCACCGGCATCACACATGGATGCCAGTTCTAGTCCTGACTATTCCTCTTCCCATCCAGGTCTCTGCTATGGCCTGGGAAAGCAGTAGAGGATGGCCCAAGTCCTTGGGCCTCTGCTCTGGCATGTGAGTCCTAGAAGAAGCTCCTGGCTCCTGGCTTCGGATCGATGCAGCTGCGGTCCGTTGCAGCCAACTGGGGAATGAACCAGTGGATGGAAGACCTCTCTCTCTCTGCCTCTCCTCTCTGTGTAACTCTGACTTTCAAATAAATAAATAAATCTTTAAAAAAAAATGAAGAGATTGAAGAAATGCCAGAAACAGAATTTAAAAAATTGATAGTAGGATTACTTAAAAGTAATCAGAAGCAAATCCATGAATTAAACAAATCCATACAAGACGTGAATGAAAACTTTTCCCCTGAAATTGAGGTTTTAAAGAGAAATCAGAATGAAATATTAGAAATGAAGAACTCAACAGATCAAATTAAAAATGCAGTGGAAAGCCTTAACAACAAATTAAATGAAGCAGAAGAAAGAATATCTGACTTAGAAAACAAATCTTGATGCCAGAGCTGTGGCACAGCAGGTAAAGCCGCCGCCTGCAGTGCTGGCATTCCATATGGATGCCAGTTCGAGTCCTGGCTGCTCCACTTTTGATCCAGCTCTTGCTATGGCCTGGGAAAGCAGTGCAAGATGGCCCAAGTCCTTGGGCCCCTGCATCCACACAGGAGACCCAGAAGAAGCTCCTGGCTCCTGATCAGCGCAGCTCTGGCCATTGCAGCCAATTTGAGAGTAAACCAGTGGATGGAAGATCTCTCTCTCTGCCTTTTCTTCTCTCTTTGTAGCTCTGACTTTCAAATAAATAAATAAATCTTAAAAAATAAAGAAGACAAATCTCTGGAAATTTTATTGTCGGACCCCACCCCCCCAAAAAGTTAGAAAACTAAAAAACAGTGTTGGAGATTTATGGGATACTATCAAACAACCCAACATACAGGTCCTAGGAGTTCCTGAAGGTGTGGAGAGAATGGATTAGAAAGCCTTTTTAGTGAAATAATTACAGAAACTTCCCTAATTTGGAGAAAGGGACATCTAACTACAGGAAGCACATAGAACTCCTAATAGACATGACCAGAAAAGATCTTCACCACGACACACTGTAATCAAACTCAACACAGTAAAACATAAAGAGAAGATTCTAAAATGTGCACAAGAGAAATGCCAGATGACTTTCAGAGGATCTCTGATTAGACTCACAGCTGACTTCTCATCAAAAACCCTACAGGCTAGGAGAGAATGGTGAGATATACTCCAAATCTTAAGAAAAAAAAAAAAAAACTGTCAACCAGAATACTGTACCCTGCATAGCTCTCATTTATGAAGGTGAAATAAAGACCTTCCAGGAGCCACTGCTGTGGTACAGCGAGTAAAGCTGCCACCTGCAGTGCTGGCATTCCATATGGGCACCAGTTTGAGTCCTGGCTGCTCCACTTCCAATACAGCTCTCTGCTATTGCCTGGGAAAGCAGCAGAGGATGGGCCAAGTCCTTTGGCCCCTGCACTTGTATGTGAGTCCCAGAAGAAGCTCCTGGCTCCTGGTTTCGGATCGGCCCACCTCTGGCCATTGCAGCCATTTGGGGAGTGAACCAGCAGATGGAAGACTCTCTCTCTCTCTTTCTCTCTTTGTCTCTGCCTCTCTGTAACTCTGCCTTTCCAATAAATAAACCTTAAAAAAAAAAAAAAGACCTTCCATAACAAACAGAAATTGAAAGAATTTGTCACCATTTGTCCAGCCTTACAAAAGATGCTTAAGGATGTGCTATACACAGAAACATGGTTATCACTATATCACTATGAAAGAAGGTGAAGGCAGAAAATTTCCCAGTAGAAGTACAAAAGAAATCCAAATGAACATTTATAGAAAAATGGCAGGGCCACGTTGTTACATATCAACAGTCACCATGAATGTAAATGGCCTCAACTCTCCAGTTAAAAGATACAGACTGGCTGAATGGATTAAAAAACAAAACCCATCTATTTGCTGCCTACAAAAAACACACCTCACCAACAAAGAAACATATAGACTGAAAGTGAAAGGATAGAAAAACATATTCCATGTTTAAGGAAACCAAAAAAGAGCTAATATCAGACAAAAGACTTTAACACAAAAACTCTTAGACAAAGAAGGGCACTATGTAAAGATTAAGGGGTCAGTTCAACAAGATGACTATAATAAATACATATGCACCTAATTACAGGGCACCTGGCTATTTAAAAAAATGTTAATGAATCTAAAGGGAGACATAGACTCCAGTACAATAGTAATGGGGGACTTCAATACCCTGCTTTCAGCAATGAACATATCAACCAGACAAAAAATCAGCAAAGAGGCCGGCGCCGTGGCTCACTAAGCTAATCCTCTGCCTTGCGGCGCCGGCACACCGGGTTCTAGTCCCGGTCGGGGCGCCGGATTCTGTCCTGGTTGCCCCTCTTCCAGGCCAGCTCTCTGCTGTGGCCCGGGAGTGCAGTGGAGGATGGCCCAAGTGCTTGGGCCCTGCACCCCATGGGAGACCAGGATAAGTACCTGGCTCCTGCCATCGGGTCAGCGTGGTGCGCCGGCCGCGGCGGCCATTGGAGAGTGAACCAACGGCAAAGGAAGACCTTTCTCTCTGTCTCTCTCTCTGTCCACTCTTCCTGTCAATAAATAAATAAATCAGCAGAGAAGCAACAGTTAATCCATACTCAAGACCAACAAACCTAATGAATATCTATAGAACTTTTCGTCCTACAGTTGCAGAATACATATTCTCACCAGTGCCTGGAACTTCCTCTAGTATAGACTACAAGCTAAGCCATAAAAAAATGAAATCCTGTCGTCTGCAACAAAATGGATGAATCTGGAAAACATCATACTTAGTGAAATAAGCCAGTCCCAAAAGGACAAATACCATGTGTTCTCCCTGATCTGTGGTAACTAATAGAGCACCTAAAAGGTAATCTATAGAAGTGAAATAACACTTTTGAGACGCTCTACTTTGAACAACCTTTGTCTCAACTGTTGAGTAACATTCATTTTTTTCATACTATTTGTTCAACTCTTTACTTAGTATAATCTTATGTGTATAAAATTAATTGAAAATAGGTCTTAGTAAAAAACAAGAATGAGAATAGGAGAGGGAGGAGGAAGAAGGTAGGGGGATGGGTACAGTGGGAAGAACCAACTATGTTCCTAAAGTTGTATTTATGAAATGCAAGATTGTATACCTCAATAAAAGTTTTCTGGGGAAATTTTTTTTTTCTTACAGCACATTTATTTCATAAAGTAGCTACCAAGGACCTATTATGTGTTACAATCGCAAGCCCTTCCTCCAAGGGTGATGTATATGTGTGCCAAGCAGAAAGCCATAGTGTAACTGCCTTCACTCGACTGGTAGGTTAGGAAATAACTGACCATCTGAAACTTGGCTACTTTGACTCCATGATTCTTTGGATTCACTTTGACACAAAGTCGGTAGTCACAGTGCTTCCTATCATAAACACAGCTTTAAAATGTGTGTCCTGTATGTATTGATAAGTTAGGCTTAGCTGAAATATGTTTGAAATATCCAATGAACATGATTGAAGTGAGCCCCAGTACTTAATTGTTTTCAAAATGAATGTCACAAAATATTTTGTGAGAAACACTGGAACAGTAAACAAATGAAAGTTATTTCCCTCTGGTATTTCCTTAAGATATTCATTTGTATTTTCAGAGATGTTAAATTCTGTATTGAATTATCCATTTTCATTAACGTGTCTTAGTTCTCAAACAAATGATACCAAGAATTAAACTCTTGAATAATGTTACAATATTTTGTCATGAAAATTTTGACATAAGTAGACTGCTGAGGGTTCTAAATCATTTCCTTTGGAAATAAATAATTGAAAATCTGCTATATACTTGAAATACATGGAAATATTCAAAAAATTGTTTTTAACACTTTTATTTGAGAAGCAAAGGGACAGAGAGAGAGAGCTCCTATCCACTGTTCACACCCTAAATACCTGCCTGCACCGGCTGGCACTAGACCAAGGCTGAAAGCCAGGAGTTGGGAATACAATACAGGTCTCTCATATGAGTGACAGGAACCTGAGCCATTACCACTGCCCCCAAAGGTCTGTATTGGCAGGAAGCTGGAGTCAGGAGCCAGAGCTGGGTTTCAACCTGGGCATTCCTACCTGGGACATGGGTATCCCAGCTGGCCTCTTAACTGCTGGGTCAGATGGTTGTCCCTGGAAATCATGACTAAATGACCCTGACATACATTTTACTTCCTGTTGCAGTCTAACTTGTCATGTACTGTATCTCTTACTCTAGTTTCTCTATACTGCTTTATTCAAATGGCTTTCATTTTTCAAAAAAAAGAATTATTTTTTGTTTTATCTATTTAAAAGTCTGAGAGACATACACACACACACACACACACACACAGAGAGAGAGAGAGAGAGAGAGAGAAATCTTCCATCCATTGGTTCACTCCCCAAAAGCCCACAACAGCCAGGGCTGGGCCAGGCCAAAGCCAGGATCCTAGAGCTCCATCCAATCTCCCACATGAGTGGCAGGAACTCAACTACTTGAACCCAACCTATCACCTGCTGCCTCCCAAGATGTACAATAGCAGGAACCTGGATTGGAAGTGGAGAAGCAAGGACTTGAACCCAGGTACTCAGATATAGGATATGGATATCCTAAGTAGCAACTGCTGTGCAAAATGATCACTCCCAAAATGGCTTTTGCTTTAAATATATATAGTTTTATATTTTTGTGTGATGATTTTTATATTAAATAACTGGGC